TGACATAGATTTATGATCCAAAGTTAAACAATATGAAAATTTGAAGTGTTGTTGGTTGTATGACTTTTTGAATGTTTCTTCGCTACTTCGATTGTATAATATAAAACAAAACACGTTTATTTGCGAAATAAAATGAAAAAAACATATGGTCTTGTAAGTCAAGTTTAATGTCGTAATCTAAAAGCTTCGTGTACTACGAAGAAACCAATGCTTATACTGCTACCTGTATTAAAATATAATATAAAATTAAAAAATTAAAAATAAAAGAGAAGATGTGATGTGTTAACTATTCACCAAAGGACAATGATGTGAACACTTTCAGGTCATACTACAGCCTTCAAAAATGAGCAAAAGACATTTTTAAATCTTACAGTTTCTCTGTTGACTATATTTTGATTAAATAACATCTACACCAAGACATATTATGTACACGTAGGTAGAAAGTACATGTAAGATGTACATACAGTTCACTCTCCGATAGTTATGTTACTATGGTAAGTGACAATCGACAAAACTTCTGAAATGCTGCGGACTGCTGTTCACCTATAGGTTTTCAGTATGTATTATATATATCATACCTTTTTACGAAGATGTATAACTCATTGAGATAAGTTAACCCCTCCATTAAAACGTGTTGTTCGAACGGAAATAATATCAATATAATTTTATTTTATTTTAAATATTAATTGTCATACAAATGCATCGTTGTAATTTCACAAACGTTTGCATTTAAGTAGTCATTTTAAAACATTAGATAGCTTTGGAAATGTGTGTATTTATCGTTTATTGTTTAAATCATAAATAAAATCAAGCCGTTGATTTCCTCTTTGAATTCTTTCAGATTTTGTCATACCGGGACGCTTTGATAGCTTACTATACAGTATGGGTTTTGCTCATTGTCGAAGGCCATACAGTGCACTTTATATATGTATAATTGTTGTTTACATCCTCGTCATTTGGTTTCTACATTTTCTTATATTTATATATAATTATTTTTTTTCATTTTTCATTACACCTCTGGTAAATTAATAACGCCGCCATATGGTAACCCCATAAGGATTCGTAGGGGTCAGTAGATTTCTTAGGGAACATCTTGGATTTACGTCTACTATTATTGTTACGGTATTTTATTGTTTAATTCTACATTTCTGTATAATAAATTCCATTATTTTTGTTTTATTTATGTTAAATTTTAATTTCCATTACTTGCAATAATCTGAAAATTTATCCAACATACATTGTAAATCATGGCTAGATAACTACGGCCTCATCCTTATAGATTTAACTAACCCTCTGTGTATCCGTAGGGGGTCAGTAGCGAAGCATATAAATGGTATTGTTGGATGAGATGTTTTTTTTCATTATATGTTGTAAAAAATGAAGTCATCGAGCGCCTGTTATCAGTTCTAGATAACAGATACAGGTATTGTTAAAACAAATTTCCTGGATGTTATCGCTTTCTTCTTGAAGAATTGTCGAAAAACAGTGAGCATCCTCAACTTGCAGGGACAATGTTTTTCCCTACATTTGCTACGACTTATATAAAACACTATGGATCATCGTCATGTGTTTCAGCATTAGTTTGACTAAATAAACGAAATCCATGCATGTAAGCGTCAATGTTGATCAAGTGTTAATCTTCGTCATTTGGTCTTTGCTGGATATTATTGTCTCATTGGCAATCTCCCATATCTTCTTATTTTTAGCTTACCTGGCCCAAAGAGCCAAGTGAGCTTTTCTCATCACTTGGCGTCCGTCGTCCGTCGTCCGTCGTCGTCGTACGTTAGCTTTAAACAAAATTCTTCTCCTCTGAAACTACTGTGCAAAATTCAACTAAACCTGGCTACAATCATCATTGGGGTATCTAGTTTATAAATTGGTCCGATGATCCCACCTGCCAACCAAGATGTCCGACATGGCTAAAAAATAGAACATAGTGGTGAAATTCAAGTTTTGTCTATCATTTTGAAAACCGCTATAAAAAGAGAAAATCTGACAGGACAGACATGCTCAGAATGTAAAGCTCTACCTATTGTCCATTAATGTCGAAACTGTCAGACGACTTCTTATAGGAGTAATTGCCCTTAAATGGCGAATTTTACCATTTGTCTCCCTTCATTTTTACCTATTATCTTGAAAACTATAAAAGATAGTGAGAATCGTTGATGAACAAAAATAATCAGCAAGACAAGATTTACAAATAAGTCAACAATGCCGATATCGTCAGACGACTCATTATTAGAGTTACTGCCCTTTAATGACGAATTTTACCAATATTTTGCGTTTTTGCCTAATATCTTAAAACTGCAGTAGATAGATAGAAACTTTAAAAAGCAATAATTATCAGCGAGTCAAGATCTACAAATAAGTTTATTAGCCGAATTCTTCAGTTTACTCGTTATTGGGGTAATTGCTCTTTAATGATTTCTAGTGTTTTTGCCTAATATTCTCTTGAAAACAATAATAGATAGTAGACACTTTAAATAGCAAAAAGGATCAGCAAGACAAGATCTACAAATAATTCAACATGGCAAAAATTGTTAGTCGAATCAATCTTGGAGTTTTTGCTCTTTAATGACGATATTTACCATTTTTTGGCGTTTTTGCCATTTGTCTTGAAAACTATAAAAGATAGATAGAAACTTTAAATTACAAGAATTATCAGCAAGACAAGATCTCCCATCAAGTAAAATTTTGCCGACTTTTTACAGGAGTGATTTCCATTAAAGGGCCAATTTTACTCTCTTTTGTGTTTTGGGCAAAAGGTAAAGAAAATAGGGAGAAACTGAACTTAAACAAATATAATCTACAATGTTGGAGAGAGTCAATTGTTGAATATGCACATATACCTAGGTGAGCAACACAGGCTCTTTAGAGCCTCTAGTTTTTTTGTTTATAGTAGACAAATGTCAATTCGATAGCATGTGTGGCGATTGGACTAGTGTTTACACATACCAATTGCTACTTTATTTAGTACGATCGGTTATAGATGGTATCAATTTTAAAGACATATAGTCAAGCACTTGTGAATTAACTATTATAATTGACGAAGACGCTTAACAAAGTTATCATATCTTCCGCTATAAATTTAAGATTATCTAAACCAAAATAGATAATTTTCAAGTTAATAATCAATAGTTCATTATGATTCACACAATACATCTATGTAATAAAATATAATTTTTCAAATATGCAATAATATAAATCATACTTCAATACAGTTGCAGAAATGTATTCAATTAAACACTATTTTAATATAAATCAACATAAATCATGCTTTTAAAAAAACGTTATTTGAGTGTTACATTTTTTACCTTAAGGTTAATGTGGTAAGGTCCTTAAAATCTCTAATATTGAAGGAAATGTTTTTATAACAAATGGAATAATTCATGATTTGTCCGTGGTTATATACTCAACCAGAAACAATAAAACAAAGGACAGATTTCAGCATGCATAGTCAAAACAAAAGAAAAACGCAACCCGACGAATAACAAGACACAAAATATTACACAGAAAGTTAAAGATTACGAGTCAGGGGTAAACTCAGACGACCTGGAAAGACAGCAGTACCCGTTCGAGATTCAAGAACCATCATTTTTCTCGTGGTCAAATGTGATAATTGGAAAAAGAAAGTTGATCAAGAAGAAAAGTTTAAAATCAAAAAGCAAAATAGACCAATTTTTCTGAGTTTACCCATGAAGATTAATGCTGATGGACAAAAAACTGAGGACATAATTCATTTTGTTTTATTTTTAATGATCCTACTGATTTCTCTGGGTTTTTGTCGTTGTTATTTTTATTTCTTTTTCTTGTATTGAAAAAGACAGCAAGGTTCATTGATAAAAACCGGGACATCACATGTATCAACAACAAAACATATATATATATATATATAGTTAGACTCAGATCGACGTCCGGTGTCTAATCGACGTCCGTTCCTCAAATCGACGGCCAATGTGACGTCACGTTCTCTACTAAGTGTCCAATATTTTAACCCTCTAATCAACGTCCAATGTGACGTCATTTTTTACCGAAACGAGGTCCGATCGATCGGAGTTTCCTCTCATCGATATATAATATCATCTAACCATTTATTTTTAGTTGGATCTTTGTTTATATTATCTTTATTGTAATGTTTTTGTATAAAGGTGCTTAAAGAACCTAACTGTTTCAGATATCTTTATCAGAACGAACACCAAAAAAGACAATAAGACAACAACCGAGTTCATATTACAAGTCCATGCATACATATTAATATTTTGGTTATAAAGAAGTTCATCCTCTCGATAAACGTGCCAAATTCCTTCTATATTCATATAAATGGCAAGTTGATACACGACAATGAGACAACAACCCAACGACAAAGATAACCGAAAGACATCTCGAGGGCAATATAGAGTCTCAAAACAATAACCAGAATAAAAACAAAAGTACAGCCAATTGTTGAAAAGTATTATTATTTGGACTTTGCAAGATTTAAGATATTCAATAACTTTTTGAGTTCTAGGTTTCACCCACCATTTAAAAATTGTGATGCGGCAAGTCCAAGTGAGATGCATAAATTGGACGTCGATTTTAGAACACTAAAAAAGCCGTCGATTAGAGAGACATATAATTGACCGTCGATTTTGATTCTCATTTTATTATGACGTCAGTTTTGGATATCGAATTGAGAAACAGACGTAGATTAGAGACCGGACGTCTATCTGAGTCTTACATATATATATATATATATATATATCGTTCAATATCCGTTCTTCGCTTATAGCATATAATGATAAGTAGATTTTGATTCAGATGATGCGTTGATTCCAATTACTATTTATTGTTTGGCAAACAAACTAATGATGAAAGCAAATGCTGTTTTAATTTAACATGAACATTTTTCGTCTTTATGTTAAATAAACTAAACAACGGTAGGACCAGAAACCGAATGTATGACTAACAAAAACACAACTGTTAAGAACCACCCGTGTTGTAAAATTTTATCTATTTTTCAGGGCTAAAATGTTAATCATAGGACGGCAAATAATAACGTTGATGGTAGTTAGAATATTTATTGCACTGCTTTTTTTTGCATCTATTGCTTTATCGACAACAACAACCGAAGAATCAACAGATTCTACTGCTACTACGACTGTAAATACAAGGGTAGTTACAAACACTGTAAACATAGCAGAAACTACAACAGAAACTACAACTGATTTAACAACCGAAACAACGGCAAATTCTGCAAATACTACAACTGATGGTACAACAGCAATTGCAACTGATTTAACAACCGAAACAACGCCAAATACTGCATATATCACAATTGATGTTACAACAGCAAACACAACTGATGTAGCGACAGAAACCACAACTGATGTAATGACCGAATTAACGGTAAGTACTGCAGATACTACAACTGATGGAACAACAGCAACCACAACTAATGTGACGACAGAAACCACAACTGATGTGGTGACAGAAATTTCAACTGATGGTACAACAGAAACCACGACTGGTGTAGTGACTGAACCTACAACTGATGTAACGACCGAAACAACGGCAAATACTACAGATACTACAGCTGTTGTTACAACAGAAACCACAGCCGATATGGCAACTGAAACTACAACTGATGTAACGACCAAAACAACAGCAAATACTGCAGATACCACAACTGATGTTACAACAGAAACCACAACAGATGTGGTGACAGAAACTACAACTGAGGTAACGACCGAAACAACGGTAAATACTGCAGATGCTACAACTGCTGTTACAACTGATGTTACAACAGAAACTACAACTGATGTAACGATTGAAACAACGGCAAATACTGCAGATTCTACAACTGATGGTACAAAAGAACCTACAACTGATGTAACGACCGAAACAATGGCAAATACTGCAGAAACTACAACTGTTGTTACAACAGAAAACACTGAGACACCAACATTAGAAACTACTACAGAAGCAACAACTTTAGAAAACAAAACTGAGGCAACTACATTACAAACTACTACAGAGGCAACTACATTAAAAACAACTATAGAGGCAACTACATTAGAAACTACTACAGAGGCAACAACATTAGAAACTACTACAGAGGCAACTACATTAGAAACTACTACAGAGGCAACAACATTAGAAACTACTACAGAGGCATCAACATTAGAAACTACAACTGATGCAACAACCTTAGAAACTACCACAGAGGCAACAACATTAGAAACTACTACAGAGGCAACCACATTAGAAACTATTACAGAGGCAACTACATTAGAAACTACTACAGAGGCAACAACATTAGAAACTACTACAGAGGCGACTACATTACAATCTACAACTGATGCAACTACCTTAGAAACTACTACAGAGGCAACAACATTACAAACTACTACAGAGGCAACTACATTAGAACCTACAACTGATGCAACAACCTTAGAAACTACTACAGAGCCAACTACATTACAATCTACAACTGATGCAACTACCTTAGAAACTACTACAGAGGCAACAAAATTACAAACTACTACAGAGGCAACTACATTAGAACCTACAACTGATGCAACAACCTTAGAAACTACTACAAAGGCATCTACATTAGAAACTACAACTGATGCAACAACCTTAGAAACTACCACAGAGGCAACAACATTAGAAACTACTACACAGGCAACAACATTAGAAACTACTACAGAGGCAACTACATTAGAAACTACTACAGAGGCAATAACATTAGAAACGACTACAGAGGCGACTACATTAGAAACTACAACTGATGCAACAACCTTAGAAACTACTACACACGCAACAATATTAGAAACTACAACTGATGCAACAACATTAGAAACTACTACAGAGGCAACTACATTACAAACTTCAACTGATGCAACTACCTTAGTAACTACTACAGAGGCTACAACATTACAAACTACTACAGAGGCAACTACATTAGAACCTACAACTGATGCAACAACCTTAGAAACTACTACAGAGGCATCAACATTAGAAACTACAACTGATGCAACAACCTTAGAAACTACCACAGAGGCAAAAACATTAGAAACTACAACTGATGCAACTACCTTAGAAACTACCACAGAGGCAACAACATTACAAACTACTACAGAGGCAACTACATTAGAAACTACAACTGATGCAACAACCTTAGAAACTACCACAGAGGCAACAACATTACAAACTACTACAGAGGCAACAACATTACAAACTACTACAGAGGCAACAACATTAGAAACTACTACAGAGGCAACTACATTAGAACCTACAACTGATGCAACAACCATAGAAACTACTACAGAGGCAAAAACATTAGAAACTACAACTGATGCAACTACCTTAGAAACTACCACAGAGGCAACAACATTACAAACTACTACAGAGGCAACTACATTAGAAACTACAACTGATGCAACAACCTTAGAAACTACCACAGAGGCAACAACATTACAAACTACTACAGAGGCAACAACATTACAAACTACTACAGAGGCAACAACATTAGAAACTACTACAGAGGCAACTACATTAGAACCTACAACTGATGCAACAACCTTAGAAACTACTACAGAGGCAACTACATTAGAAACTACAACTGCTGCAACAACAGTAGAAACTACAACAGAGGCAACTACATTACAAACTACAACTGATGCAACTACCTTAGAAACTACCACAGAGGCAACAACATTACAAACTACTACAGAGGCAACTACATTAGAAACTACAACTGATCCAACAACCTTAGAAACTACCACAGAGGCAACAACATTAGAAACTACTACAGAGGCAACAACATTAGAAACTACAACAGAGGCAACTACATTAGAAACTACTACAGAGGCAACTACATTAGAAACTACTACAGAGGCAACAACATTACAAACTACTACAGAGGCAACAACATTAGAAACTACTACAGAGGCAACTACATTAGAAACTACTACAGAGGCAACAACATTAGAAACTACTACAGAGGCAACTACATTAGAACCTACAACTGATGCAACAACCTTAGAAACTACTACAGATGCAACAACCTTAGAAACTACTACAGAGGCAACAACATTAGAAACTACTACACAGGAAATTACATTAGAAACTACTACAGAGGCAACAATATTAGAAACTACCACAGAGGAAACTACATTAGAAACTACAACTGATGCAACAACCTTAGAAACTACTACAGAGTCAACTACATTAGAAACTACAACTGAAACAACAACATTAGAAACTACTACAGAGGCAACAACATTACAAACTACTACAGAGGCAACTACATTAGAAACTACAACTGATGCAACAACCTTAGAAACTACCACAGAGGCAAAAACATTAGAAACTACTACAGAGGCAACTACATTTGAAACTACTACAAAGGCAACTACATTAGAAACTACCACGGAGGCAACAACATTAGAAACTACTACAGAGGCAACTACATTAGAACCTACAACTGATGCAACAACCTTAGAAACCACTACAGAGGCAACTACATTACAAACTACAACTGATGCAACTACCTTAGAAACTACTACAAGGGCAACAACATTACAAACTACTACAGAGGCAACTACATTAGAACCTACAACTGATGCAACAACCTTAGAAACTACTACTGAGGCAACTACATTAGAAACTACAACTGATGCAACAACCTTAGAAACTACCACAGAGGCAACAACATTAGAAACTACTACAGAGGCAACCACATTAGAAACTACAACTGATGCAACAACATTAAAAACTACTACAGAGGCAACAACATTAGAAACTACTACAGAGGCAACAACATTAGAAACTACTACAGAGGCAACAACATTAGAAACTACTACAGAGGCAACTACATTACAAACTACAACTGATGCAACTACCTTAGAAACTACTACAGAGGCAACAACATTACAAACTACTACAGAGGCATCTACATTAGAAACTACAACTGATGCAACAACCTTAGAAACTACCACAGAGGCAACAACATTACAAATTACTACAGAGGCAAGTACATTAGAAACTACAACTGATGCAACAACCTTAGAAACTACTACAGAGGCCTCGACATTAGAAACTACTACAGAGGCAACTATATTAGAAACTACTACAGAGGCAACAACCTTAGAAACTACTACAGAGGTATCTACATTAGAAACTACAACTGATGCAACAACCTTAGAAACTACCACAGAGGCAACAACATTACAAACTACTACAGAGGCATCTACAGTAGAAACTACAACTGATGCAACAACCTTAGAAACTACTACTGAGGCAACTACATTAGAAACTACAACTGATGCAACAACCTTAGAAACTACCACAGAGCCAGCAACCTTAGAAACTACTACAGAGGCAACAACATTAGAAACTACAACTGATGCAACAACCTTAGAAACTACCACAGAGGCAACAACATTAGAAACTACTACAGAGGCAAATACATTAGAAACTACTACAGAGGCAACAACATTAGAAACTACTACAGAGGCAACTACATTAGAAACTACAACTGATGCAACAACCATAGAAACTACTACAGAGGCAACTACATTAGAACCTAAAACTGATGCAACAACCTTAGAAACTACTACAGAGGCAACTACATTAGAACCTAAAACTGATGCAACAACCATAGAAACTACTACAGAGGCAACTACATTAGAAACTACAACTGATGCAACAACCATAGAAACTACTACAGAGGCAACTACATTAGAACCTACAACTGATGCAACAACCTTAGAAACTACTACAGAGGCAACTACATTACAAACTACTACAGAGGCAACTACATTAGAAACTACAACTGATGCAACAACCATAGAAACTACTACAGAGGCAACTACATTACAAACTACAACTGATGCAACTACATTAGAAACTACCACAGAGGCAACAACATTACAAACTACTACAGAGGCAACTACATTAGAACCTACAACTGATGCAACAACCTTAGAAACTACTACAGAGCCAACTACATTACAAACTACAACTGATGCAACAACCTTAGAAACAACTACAGAGGCTACTACATTAGAACCTACAACTGATGCAACAACCTTAGAAACTACTACAGAGGCATCAACATTAGAAACTACTACAGAGGCAACTACATTAGAAACTACCACGGAGGCAACAACATTAGCAACTACTACAGAGGCAACTACATTAGAACCTACAACTGATGCAACAACCTTAGAAACTACTACAGAGGCATCAACATTAGAAACTACTACAGAGGCAACTACATTAGAAACTACCAGGGAGGCAACAACATTAGCAACTACTACAGAGGCAACTACATTAGAACCTACTACAGAGGCAACTACATTACAAACTACAACTGATGCAACAACCTTAGAAACTACTACAGAGGTATCTACATTAGAACCTACAACTGATGCAACTACATTAGAAACTACCACAGAGCCAACAACCTTAGAAACTACTACAGATGCAACAACATTAGAAACTACTACAGAGGCAACTACATTACAAACTACTACAGAGGCAACAACATTAGAACCTACAACTGATGCAACAACCTTAAAAACTACCACAGAGGCAACAACATTAGAAACTACTACAGAGGCAACTACATTAGAAACTACTACTGATGCAACAACCTTAGAAACTACTACAGAGGCAACTACATTACAAACTACAACTGATGCAACTACCTTAGAAACTACCACAGAGGCAACAACATTACAAACTACTACAGAGGCAACTACATTAGAAACTACAACTGATGCAACAACCTTAGAAACTACCACAGAGGCAACAACATTAGAAACTACTACAGAGGCAACAACATTAGAACCTACAACTGATGCAACAACCTTAGAAACTACTACAGAGGCAACAACATTAGAAACTACTACAGAAGCAACAACATTAGAACCTACAACTGATGCAACAACCATAGAAACTACTACAGAGGCAACTACATTAGAAACTACAACTGATGCAACAACCATAGAAACTACTACAGAGGCAACTACATTAGAAACTACAACTGATGCAACAACCTTAGAAACTACTACAGAGGCAACAACATTAGAAACTACTACAGATGCAACAACCTTAGAAACTACTACAGAGGCAACAACATTAGAAACTACTACACAGGAAATTACATTAGAAACTACTACAGAGGCAACAATATTAGAAACTACCACAGAGAAAACTACATTAGAAACTACAACTGATGCAACAACCTTAGAAACTACTACAGAGGCAACTACATTAGAAACTACTACAGAGGCAACTACATTAGAAACTACTACAGAAGCAACAACATTAGAAACTACTACACAGGAAATTACATTAGAAACTACTACAGAGGAAACTATATCAGAAACTACAACTGATGCAACAACCTTAGAAACTACTACAGAGGCAACTACATTAGAAACTACAACTGATGCAACAACCTTAGAAACTACTACAGAGGCAACTACATTAGAAACTTCAACTGATGCAACAACCTTAGAAACTACTACAGAGGCAACTACATTAGAAACTACAACTGATGCAACAACATTAGAAACTACTACAGAGGCAACTACATTACAAACTACTACAAAGGCAACTACATTACAAACTACTACAGAGGCAACAACATTAGAAACTACTACAGAGGCAACTACATTAGAACCTACAACTGATGCAACAACCTTAGAAACTACTACAGAGGCAACTACATTAGAAACTACAACTGATGCAACAACCATAGAAACTACTACAGAGGCAACTACATTAGAAACTACAACTGATGCAACAACCATAGAAACTACTACAGAGGCAACAACATTAGAACCTACAACTGATGCAACAACCATAGAAACTACTACAGAGGCAACAACATTAGAAACTACTACAGAGGCAACTACATTAGAAACTACAACTGATGCAACAACCATAGAAACTACTACAGAGGCAACTACATTAGAACCTACAACTGATGCAACAACCATAGAAACTACTACAGAGGCAACAACATTAGAAACTACTACAGAGGCAACTACATTAGAAACTACAACTGATGCAACAACCATAGAAACTACTACAGAGGCAACAACATTAGAACCTACAACTGATGCAACAACCATAGAAACTACTAAAGAGGCAACAACATTAGAAACTACCACAGAGGCAACTACATTAGAAACTACAACTGATGCAACAACCATAGAAACTACTACAGAGGCAACTACATTAGAAACTACAACTGATGCAACAACCATAGAAACTACTACAGAGGCAACTACATTAGAAACTACAACTGATGCAACAACCTTAGAAACTACTACAGAGGCAACAACATTAGAACCTACAACTGATACAACAACCATAGAAACTACTACAGAGGCAACAACATTAGAAACTACTACAGAGGCAACTACATTAGAAACTACAACTGATGCAACAACCATAGAAACTACTACAGAGGCAACAACATTAGAACCTACAACTGATGCAACAACCATAGAAACTACTACAGAGGCAACAACATTAGAAACTACTACAGAGGCAACTACATTAGAAACTACAACTGATGCAACAACCATAGAAACTACTACAGAGGCAACAACATTAGAACCTACAACTGATGCAACAACCATAGAAACTACTACAGAGGCAACAACATTAGAAACTACTACAGAGGCAACTACATTAGAAACTACAACTGATGCAACAACCATAGAAACTACTACAGAGGCAACAACATTAGAACCTACAACTGATGCAACAACCATAGAAACTACTACAGAGGCAACAACATTAGAAACTACTACAGAGGCAACTACATTAGAAACTACAACTGATGCAACAACCATAGAAACTACTACAGAGGCAACTACATTAGAAACTACAACTGATGCAACAACCATAGAAACTACTACAGAGGCAACAACATTAGAAACTACAACTGATGCAACAACCTTAGAAACTACTACAGAGGCAACAACATTAGAACCTACAACTGATGCAACAACCATAGAAACTACTACAGAGGCAACAACATTAGAAACTACTACAGAGGCAACTACATTAGAAACTACAACTGATCCAACAACCATAGAAACTACTACAGAGGCAACTACATTAGAAACTACAACTGATGCAACAACCTTAGAAACTACTACAGAGGCAACTACATTAGAACCTACAACTGATGCAACAACATTACAAACTACTACAGAGGCAACAACCTTAGAAACTACTACAGAGGCAACAACATTAGAAACTACTACAGAGGCAACAACATTAGAACCTACAACTGATGCAACAACATTAGAACCTACAACTGATGCAACAACCTTAGAAACTACTACAGAGGCAACTACATTAGAACCTACAACTGATGCAACAACATTAGAAACTACTACAGAGGCAACAACCTTAGAAACTACTACAGAGGCAACAACATTAGAAACTACTACAGAGGCAACTACATTAGAACCTACAACTGATGCAACAACATTAGAAACTACTACAGAGGCAACAACCTTAGAAACTACTACAGAGGCAACAACCTTAGAAACTACTACAGAGGCAACAACATTAGAAACTACTACAGAGGCAACTACATTAGAAACTACTACAGAGGCAACTACATTAGAAACTACTACAGAGGCAACTACATTACAAACTACTACAGAGGCAACAACATTACAAACTACTACAGAGGCAACTACATTAGAAACTACTACAGAGGCAACTACATTAGAAACTACTACAGAGGCAACTACATTAGAAACTACTACAGATGCAACTACATTAGAACCTACAACTGATGCAACAACCTTAGAAACTACTACAGAGGCAACTACATTACAAACTACAACTGATGCAACTACCTTAGAAACTACCACAGAGGCAACAACATTACAAACTACTACAGAGGCAACTACATTACAAACTACAACTGATGCAACAACCTTAGAAACTACCACAGAGGCAACAACATTAGAAACTACTACAGAGGCAACAACATTAGAAACTACTACAGAGGCAACTACATTAGAAACTACTACAGAGGCAACTACATTAGAAACTACTACAGAGGCAACAACATTACAAACTACTACAGAGGCAACTACATTAGAAACTACTACAGAGGCAACTACATTCAAAACTACTACAGAGGCAACAACATTAGAAACTACTACAGAGGCAACTACATTAGAACCTACAACTGATGCAACAACCTTAGAAACTACCACAGAGCCAACAACCTTAGAAACTACTACAGATGCAACAACCTTAGAAACTACTACAGAGGCAACAACATTAGAAACTACTACACAGGAAATTACATTAGAAACTACTACAGAGGCAACAATACTAGAAACTACCACAGAGAAAACTACATTAGAAACTACAACTGATGCAACAACCTTAGAAACTACTACAGAGGCAACTACATTAGAAACTACAACTGATGCACCTACATTAGAAACTACCACGGAGGCAACAACATTAGCAACTACTACAGAGGAAACTACATTAGAACCTACAACTGATGCAACAACATTAGAAACTACAACTGATGCAACAACATTAGAAACTACTACAGAGGCAACTACATTACAAACTACAACTGATGCAACTACCTTAGAAACTACTACAAGGGCAACAACATTACAAACTACTACAGAGGCATCTACATTAGAAACTACAACTGATGCAACAACCTTAGAAACTACTACTGAGGCAACTACATTAGAAACTACAACTGATGCAACAACCTTAGAAACTACCACAGAGGCAACAACATTAGAAACTACTACAGAGGCAACCACATTAGAAACTACAACTGATGAAACAACCTTAAAAACTACTACTGAGGCAACAACATTAGAAACTACTACAGAGGCAACAACATTAGAAACTACTACAGAGGCAACAACATTAGAAACTACTACAGAGGCAACTACATTACAAACTACAACTGATGCAACTGCCTTAGAAACTACTACAGAGGCAACAACATTACAAACAACTACAGAGGCAACTACATTAGAACCTACAACTGATGCAACAACCTTAGAAACAACTACAGAGGCATCTACATTAGAAACTACAACTGATGCAACAACCTTAGAAACTACCACAGAGGCCACAACATTAGAAACTACCACAGAGGCAAGTACTTCAGAAACTACAACTGATGCAACAACCATAGAAACTACTACAGAGGCAACTACATTAGAAACTACAACTGATGCAACAACCATAGAAACTACTACAGAGGCAACTACATTAGAACCTACAACTGATGCAACAACCTTAGAAACTACCACAGAGCCAACAACCTTAGAAACTACAACAGATGCAACAACCTTAGAAACTACTACAGAGGCAACAACATTAGAAACTACTACACAGGAAATTACATTAGAAACTACTACAGAGGCAACAATACTAGAAACTACCACAGAGAAAACTACATTAGAAACTACAACTGATGCAACAACCTTAGAAACTACTACAGAGGCAACTACATTAGAAACTACAACTGATGCAACAACATTAGAAACTACTACAGAGGCAACAACATTACAAACTACTACAGAGGCAACTACATTAGAACCTACAACTGATATAACAACCTTAGAAACTACCACAGAGGCAACAACATTAGAAACTACTACAGAGGCAACTACATTTGAAACTACTACAGAGGCACCTACATTAGAAACTACCACGGAGGCAACAACATTAGCAACTACTACAGAGGCAACTACATTAGAACCTACAACTGATGCAACAACTTTAGAAACTACCACAGAGGCAACAACATTAGAAACTACAACTGATGCAACAACATTAGAAACTACTACAGAGGCAACTACATTACAAACTACAACTGATGCAACTACCTTAGAAACTACTACAAGGGCAACAACATTACAAACTACTACAGAGGCATCTACATTAGAAACTACAACTGATGCAACAACCTTAGAAACTACTACTGAGGCAACTACATTAGAAACTACAACTGATGCAACAACCTTAGAAACTACCACAGAGGCAACAACATTAGAAACTACTACAGAGGCAACCACATTAGAAACTACAACTGATGAAACAACCTTAAAAACTACTACTGAGGCAACAACATTAGAAACTACTACAGAGGCAACAACATTAGAAACTACTACAGAGGCAACAACATTAGAAACTACTACAGAGGCAACTACATTACAAACTACAACTGATGCAACTGCCTTAGAAACTACTACAGAGGCAACAACATTACAAACAACTACAGAGGCAACTACATTAGAACCTACAACTGATGCAACAACCTTAGAAACAACTACAGAGGCATCTACATTAGAAACTACAACTGATGCAACAACCTTAGAAACTACCACAGAGGCCACAACATTAGAAACTACCACAGAGGCAAGTACTTCAGAAACTACAACTGATGCAACAACCATAGAAACTACTACAGAGGCAACTACATTAGAAACTACAACTGATGCAACAACCATAGAAACTACTACAGAGGCAACTACATTAGAAACTACTACAGAGGCAACAACATTACAAACTACTACAGAGGCAACTACATTAGAAACTACTACAGAGGCAACTACATTAGAAACTACTACAGAGGCAACTACATTAGAAACTACTACAGAGGTCACTACATTAGAACCTACAACTGATGCAACAACCTTAGAAACTACTTCAGAGGCAACTACATTACAAACTACAACTGATGCAACTACCTTAGAAACTACCACAGAGGCAACAACATTACAAACTACTACAGAGGCAACTACATTACAAACTACAACTGATGCAACAACCTTAGAAACTACCACAGAGGCAACAACATTAGAAACTACTACAGAGGCAACAACATTAGAAACTACTACAGAGGCAACTACATTAGAAACTACTACAGAGGCAACTACATTCAAAACTACTACAGAGGCAACAACATTAGAAACTACTACAGAGGCAACTACATTAGAACCTACAACTGATGCAACAACCTTAGAAACTACCACAGAGCCAACAACCTTAGAAACTACTACAGATGCAACAACCTTAGAAACTACTACAGAGGCAACAACATTAGAAACTACTACACAGGAAATTACATTAGAAACTACTACAGAGGCAACAATATTAAAAACTACCACAGAGGCAAGTACTTTAGAAACTACAACTAATGCAACAACCTTAGAAACTACCACAGAGGAAACAACATTACAAACTACTACAGCGGCTACTACAGTAGAAACTACAACTGATGCAACAACCTTAGAAACTACTACTGAGGCAACTACATTAGAAACTACGACTGATGCAACAACCATAGAAACTACCACAGAGCCAGCAACCTTAGAAACTACTACAGAGGCAACAACATTAGAAACTACTACAGAGGCAACTACATTAGAAACTACTACAGAGGCAACTACATTAGAAACTACTACAGAAGCAACAACATTAGAAACTACTACACAGGAAATTACATTAGAAACTACTACAGAGGAAACTATATCAGAAACTACAACTCATGCAACAACCTTAGAAACTACTACAGAGGAAACTACATTAGAAACTACTACAGAGGCAACAATATTAGAAACTACTACAGAGGCAACTACATTAGAAACTACAACTGATGCAACAACATTCGAAACTACTACAGAGGCAACTACATTAGAAACTACAACTGATGCAACTACATTAGAAACTACAACTGATGCAACAACCTTAGAAACTTCTACAGAGGCAACTACATTACAAACTACTACTGATGGATCAACCTTAGAAACTACTACAGAAGCAACTACATTACAAACTACAACTGATGCAACAATCTTAGAAACTACTACAGAGGCAACTCCATTAGAAACTACTACAGAGGCAACTACATTAGAACTTACAACTGATGCAACAACCTTAGAAACTACTACAGAGGCAATTACCGTAGAAACTACAACTGATGCAACAACATTAGAAACTACAACAGAAGCAACAACCTTAGAAACTACAACAGATGCACCAACATTAGAAACTACAACAGAGGCAACAACATTAGAAAGTACAACTGATGCAAAAACATTAGAAACTACAACTGGGACAACAACATTAGAAACTACCACAGAGGCAATTTCCTTGGAAACTACGACAGATGCAACGACATTAAAAACTACAACAGGTGCAACTACATTAGAAACAACAACTGAAGCAACTACATTAGAAACTTCAACTGAGTCAACAAAATTAGAATCAACAACACCTACAACAACATCAGAAACTACAACAGCCTCAATGACTTTCGAAACAACAATTGAGACAACAACATTATATCTCACAACCCAGCCAGTAACAACATCATTGCCAACACCAACTTCTACACAAACAACAACCACAGTACAGACAACATCAGCTGGAGCACGTGCCTCAGGTATGATATTGTTTTTTTTTCTTAAATTTTATCATGGACACATATGCCAGTTTGTTAGGAAAAAAGTAGATAAAATGTGACAGGTGTGGATTTTTTTGGTTTGATCGAAATACGAAACTCGGTTATAAATAAACACATCTGTTGTAAGATTTAAGAAACCTTTTCAACATAGATACAACTGCACTTTGTATTATCTTATTAAGGGGAAGAAAAATAATTCTTCATTCACAGTTTCAGAAACAATTGCACTCTTTGTAATAATTATAAAAAAAGAGTTCAAAACATTGTGATTGGTCATCAGTAACATACACAACGGATATTCGGCCAATTACGTTACAGTACTTCCATATTTGGTGTATGAACAAAACATAATTGAAGATATCAGACTTATAATTTCCCCCGAGACACAAACTTTTTCCCGACGCGAAGCGGATTTTGATTTTGTCAGTTTTTATGAATTTCCTTTTTTTGAATTTACATTGCAGTTATAGGATTTTGTTATACTTTTTAGTATGACAAACGTATATAAGCGCGTTTCATCTACTGAAGACTCATAAGTGTTGCGCGAATCGAAATATTTGAAATGCCAAATCAAAGTTGAAGAGCCTTGAAAATTAAAAACTCCCTCACAATTTTTCCAAATATGGCTTAGCCCGTCTAAGCATAACCCATCTAAGCATAAGCTTAGAAAACCTTAGTGTTTTGGACAATTCTGTTTTTTTAAACAGCAAGTAAATTTCAAGACAGTGGTCGTATCAGTGATATTTCATGTAAACACAGGACTGGTGATACTCTCGGAGACAAAACGTTCACCAGCAGTGGTAAAAACTGAGTTGTTTCAAAAACTCATCAGTGATACCAGGCTCATAATGACGTATGGCGTTTCTTCTACAAAAGACACATCAGTGGCGCTAGATTCAAACAGTTACAAGGTCAAATCAAATACGAAGTTAAAGAGCATAGAAAAAAAACTCAAAAAAATTGTACCAAATCTGGCTGAGGCAATTAATCCCTGGAGGTAGAAAAACCTTAATTTTTGAATAATTCGACATAAAAATAAAAACGGCAAATCATCATAAGTTTTTACCTGACATGTTTTTATTGTCCCCAAATGCAGGGTGAAGTTGGTTTTGATCAACGACTCGGTCAAACCAAAGACTTTATACTCAGGCGGCATTAAAAATCAAGATGTATCGAAGTCAGAATAATGCGTCCGTGTTGCTTAGTATGTCGTCCTGTGAACTATTAACTTGCTTGTTTATACCTCAGTTTTTCTTTCTAGTACAAAGCACGTTATATATATACATACTTAATTGACATGTACCTTGTTATCATCTTCAATACTCATGTTATATTTGTCAAAGTCATCAATCAATCAATAAATCTTAAAAGTCATTAGTTATATGGTAATTTATAGTTTAGTGATGTTAAACAAACATGTATAACACTATTCTAGAATTTATGGCATTCGGAGAACCAACTGCTGATTCAAGACTTTACGGAGATGACGTGTCAACTAATAATCTTAGATGTTTCACATCAATTCCTTTCTTGGGTGACAGTTACAACTACTTGACAGTAAGTGTATACATTTCTTGTCATTTGCAGTTTAACAAACTTTGTTTTCGTTCAGATCACTTTGTGCGTTGAGGCTTTGGCTAACTCGGCTGTGTATTTTTATGTGTTGGATTAAGTTGTTTTGTGTAATGTATCCGCTTTTTATTCTGTAGGTAGTCCCCACTTCGGTTTTATCATGTATATCTATTATATAGTCATTTTATAAAATTTACTGTTTGCAAAATTATAAATTATTCTAAATAATAAGGATGTTCTTGTCCCAGGCAGAAAACCATTGCCGTGTTAGGCGCAACTTTTTGGAAGTTTTGGTCCTCGGTGCTCTTTAGCTTTGTACTAGTTTTGGCTTTCAGACTTTTTTCATCTGAGCGTCACTGGTTGGTCTTGTGTGGACGAGACGCACGTCTGGCGTATTGAATTTTAAGCCTAGTACCTTTTGTTAGCTATTATTCGTGTGTTTCTTTGTCTTATATGTTCTCCCATTTATTTGTATTGTGGTCCTGTCATGGGATGTTGACGTTTTTGTGTTGTGTTTGACGTTGCCATAAAAGCGGGAGGTTTGGCATGCCACAAAACTAGGTTCAACCCACCATTTTTTTCTTAAAATGTCCTGTACCAAGTCAGGAAAATGGCCATTGTTATATTATAGTTCGCTTCTGTGTGTGTTACATTTTAATTTTGTGTTTTTGTTGTGTCGTTGTTCTTCTCTTATATTTGATGCGTTTCCCTCAGTTTTAGTTTGTAACCCGGATTTGTTTTTATCTCTATCGATTTATGAGTTTCGAACAGCGGTATACTACTGTTGCCTTTATTTAAAGCGTTTTTGTTTCTTTTTATTACAAGCTGTTTCAAGGTTTACTTAGCTAGGCTAATCAGGTTGTTCCACCTACGATAGGATGGAAGGGGGTGTCATCTCGAATTCCCAGAAAAATAAACGCTGAATCCAGAATTCCCGAAAAAATAAAGCATATTTTTTCGAATCCCGAAAAAAAAAACACTAATTCCTGAGTATAACAATTTATATAAGTGTAAATCCTAAATTCCTGCAAAAAAAAAAGACCCAATCCCTACGTCACGAAAAAGGTCCCTCGATCAGTACCTCACTTAGGAGTTTCCCTTGCCACTTTTTTAAATTCGTAAAAGATTATCAGAGCTTATGTTGATATCTTTTAATACTATACGGAAATAAAAAATGAAGTTTAACTATGTCATAATGCATATTGCTATCATGTCGTTACAATCTGCATATTCATATTGACCTTTACTTTTCATTCACAGTTTTCTTCAAATGGTCTAGCATGCATGGGATGCAGATATACTTCCTATGTTCCAAGAGAATTGAACTTGGTTTCAGATCGCGATATAATAGCTGCATTATGGACAGATTTAGTTGTATCTAGATCAACTGAGAAGATGTATTATCATCTCTATAGTGACGATGATGATTTTGGAAATCGAACTCTGATTGATTCAGTTTTGAATAAAGTTTCTTCTAATGTCAATTATTACTCTCAAACAAGTGACTTTTCAGCATCTTGTGTGTATGTTGCGACATGGGAGAATGCAAGGCTATATGGTGATATTGTAAGTAGTAAGATTGTATATACAATTATTGACTTTTGATGAGATTGGTACAATGATTTATGAAACACAGAGACATGATATTCACTGAGGCCAACAACCATGGGTGAATATCATATATCTTTGGTTGATAAATCATTGTATTAACTGATCATGCTGATATCAAATGTGGACAATTGTTTTATTATATAATTTTTTTAATCCATCTCCAATTTTCTAGTATTTGTTTAAGATGTTTAATGACTCCTTGTTTTTATACTAAATATTTTATCTGCTTTAGCAGTTGTTTATTTTAATAAGTTGAAAAATTCGATAAATTCACTAAAAAAATAAACACTGAAAAAAGAAGAAGAAGAAAAAGGCGAACTTGCATGAAGTCATAAACCTTCATTATAGACGTTGCCTAGGAACATATCTATTTAGGTTCATGTGAGCTGTTCCAAATCTTATATTAACCTCTCATGATTTTTCCCGTAGTGAATATAATGTTTTATCAAGCAATATTCCCTTTGCTTTTAGCCAAGGAGAAAAGAGAAATTTTATAGTCATTATAACATTTAGTATTAGGTCCTGATGTAGATTATGGAAATTGTTGCCAAGTTTGTTTTATTACAAGTTAAAATGATAAATAATACTTTGTTTGCATTTTTACCCCCAGAATGCTTATAATATCTTTAAGATCAGTTAAGGGAAATACGTGTTTAAGTGAAGTTGCATATACATTTATTTCCTTTTTCTCTTTTTAGAACACTGTAACATTTCAATTTATTTTGGCAACAAATGGTGCAAAGACCTATGCTTACTCCTTGTTTAAGGATGTAAATATACTGCTTCCACCTGGTGGCAGACAATGCTCTATAGGATATTCAGGATTAGGTGGATCGTCATCAAGTATATACTCCTTCACACAAAGTGCTTTTAAAGTTAGTGAATTTAGAGGGAACACATTTGATGGTGGGTATATAGTGAAAATTTAAATTATTAACTCGACTACCACAGGAAAACTGTCACATTCAACACTTGTATTTAAAAACACAAAGAATGTATATAGAATATTCTTACCTTTATTAACAATAATTCTTGGTTTTCTGAACAAATTCATCCGTTCCAAACAATTTGGTTAAAAGGTATATGTATATATGTGAGCCTCAGTGGTTTGAAACAACAGTTTCTCAAAGTTTTCAAAAAAACTCATCGAAAGATACCGGGCTTCTAATTTTGTACGCCAAACTGGCATTTTGTCTACATAAGAAATAAAGGCAACAGTAGTATATCGGTGTTCAAAAGTCATAAATCGATTGCGAGAAAACAAATCCGGATTACAAACTAAACCGAGGGAAACACATCAACTTTAAGAGGAAAACTGAAGTGCAACAAAAACGAACACCAACATACATAGAAACGAACTATTTCGTAACAACTGCCATATTCCTGACTTGGTACAGGACATTTTAAGAACGAATGGTGGGTTGAACCTGGTCCCATGGCTAGCCAAACCTCCCGCTCCTATGGCAAAGCTGAAAAATATCGTCAAAATGACAACACCACGTGACAGAAACACAGCACAACACACGCAAGAAAACTCATCACAAGAGAAACGCACAAATAAATAACACAATAAGACTCATCTGTGACTCTAGAATCAAGACAGTTCAAAGGCCAAATCAAATAGGAATTTAATAATTTAAAATGGCATACGACATAAACAAAATAGTGTATGTCTTAAGATGACAAATCAAGACATCAATTGTACCGATTAACCTTCTGTTGGTGTGCGTAATACCACAAACCTCCTTTTATTAAAATAATTAAACTCATCATTGATACCAGAAATACAATTTTGTATGGCAGACGCACGTTTTGTCTACAAAAGACTCATCAGTAACATTTAAAAAAAGAAATTAAAAAGGCCAAATAACATACGAATTTGAAGAGCATTGAGGACCCACAATTCAGCAAAGGTAATCTATTCCTGGGGTAGAAAATCCTTAGTATTTAGAGCAATTCAAAGTTTTGTAAACAGTTAACTTATAATAATGACCATATCAATGTTGGTTTTTAATCAGTTGAGATACGTGAATGCCTTAGACTTGCTTATTAAATTTTAAATTGTTTGATCAAGCTATATAGAACAATTATTTTTTTTTTCAACTGTAACATGACTGTATACTGGCGTCATAAATCTTAAATTCTATTGCAGGTGTAAATGGTGTATTTTTTATGTCACTTAATGCAAAGGGTCCAATACAAGAGAACCCAGCTTCTCAGTGTGTGAGGTGGTATCGTAGGAATGTTAATTCAGTTAGATGGAGCTTGAGAAATCAGAGATGGTGGTTATCTCAGATTTGTCCGTGCAATCAGAGAATGCTGGTTTTTGATGGAAGATTTTATTTCCTTTCGTATCAAAACGGTGCTGTGTGTTTTGCCAACTACAGATTCGGTACCAGTCGTGTAAGTATATATTTATATCTGCTTTAATATGCATCAGTGCATCTATGTAGATGAAGACATATGTTTTCCTGTGATGTTTGGAATTTGATCACATACACCTGATTTCTATTATGTTTTAAAGTGATGTTTAAACATGATAAATGCTGTCTCATTTACATTCTCTATCATCTCTTATCCATGTTAAACACATTAGCCCTTATAGACCCTCACAACATTTCTTTGACAAAAAATGGACCTCAGAAGTGATTTTACTCCTTCACTCCTATAATGAGTTTGAATAAGATAATATTTGTCTTCGACATGCAATTTCATAATATGTTATAATTTCTTACATCTGATTTAACAATCAAACTTTTATCTATGAATTTGTAAAGACTTAGATTACAAAGAATGAAATTGCCTGTTAAAAGAATATCCTGACATGTGTTTCATGACCCAGAGGTCATGATTAAACAATTGGTTTAGATAAATAACTTTAGGATTCATAACAGTTGAAAAAATGTATCTTAACAGAATGATGTAACATATATTTCATGACCATTTGTACTTGCTACCTTTCTTCTTTGTGTACCTTTTGATACATGCATATATTTGATTTGTAAATATAGTTTGCATCTCATGCTGATTAGAAAAGTTATCCTTGATACTTCTCAGGAGGGCTATTGTTTATGGTCAACACATTCATTTGACCCCTGGAATTATTTTTTTTCTTCAAAATTCACATTTTCAATTCAAGTACTTCATGTATGTATATATATATATGTTAATTTGAAAAAACAACAACAGAAGAAATATATTGGCATCTTTATACTCCTTGTTTTTCTAAAAATAAATATATTATACGAACTACTCACATACAATTTATGAAACACTTTTATATATATTATATCGTTACATTAACAAATATTTAATTTTATTACTAAATACCATCGAGTTAGGCATTTTCTTTAATAACCACAGAGGTGTTTATCACTATTTGACGAGGATTTAATGTAATGAAAGGTAGTTTAAATTTATAAAAATACGTCAGCTGCAAAGCTCTCAGAATGCAGAATTTTGCATCTAAGTTGTTTTTTTTTTAAATATGGGGTGGGGAGGCAACGCGGTGCTCACCAATGAAACTACTGCAAAATACTGAGAAATCAGTTAATATTAATAATAGACTGAAATAGGGGTAAAAACCTCTGTAACCAACATTTACTGGAAGTCAAAATTATAGAGTACAATGACATTTTTGATCCAGTTTTCAGTTTTACCAACAAATGAAACTATATAACAAAAGTTACTTTTCAGATTTGCTGCTATCACCAGTTCTATGGGTTCCTTCTTAGGAACAGACCAGATGCTGGTACTATGGTCACAGGGAATCCTTTTACTGATATTGTTACATACCAAAGTGATAATATTATCCCTAAAAACAATTGTTGTTACAAATCAAATAATTGTCATCTGTACTACACAGTAAGACCAGTGGGATTTTGTTACAGGAGGTCACCATTTGGTATATGTAAGTACATGTATTCTGCAGATTTATAGGTCCAGATGGGTGTACATTACTGTAAACCAACTAATTTTTGTGACTTTCGTGAGTAGAAAAATAACACGAATAGAAATCATCACGAATATGTAAACTTCTTTCCTTATTCAACTACATCAAGAAAATTTGAAATCGTGAACTTTAATCGCCGTGAAGTGGGCTAGAAGGGATGAAACGCGAAATAAATTTTCTGCGAACAGCTATACTCTGTTTTGCTGTAAATAATGCTTCTTTTATTGTTTAATGTTACACATTGATTTCTCATGTACATGTAGTATCACTATTTAAAACTTTAAAATTCTATAAGCGATGATTGTTATCCAAAGATTAATTTGCCTGTAATTGTCTAATATCTTTTTTTTGTATAAACATTTCATAACAAAGACAAACATGATTACTTTTGTAGATCATTTTAGAAATGCAAGTAATGAATGTTACCAAGTCCATTTTGATGGGAACTGGAAGTGAACTATATAAATCTATAATCTATAATTCGATCAAAAGTTGCATGCAACTTGAGAATCAAGCTCCTTGTTCCTGAGTCTGTACCTTTAGTGAAAATATATGAAACCTCAAATTTAAAACAAAATAGAATATGTTTTACAGTTTATATACTTGAATGCCTAAGTTTTACTATAAAACAGTGTATATATGGAATTCATTTAAACAAAAATCCTTTATCTTCTTGAAATCTTAAGGAATCATACCACATATCCTTATTTTTATACTGGAAGCTAGAAAGATAGAATGAATCGATCCTGAAAGAAAACATCTTAATTCAGCAAATAATCAAACAACTGTTATGACAAAGTTTAATTAAATGTTAACGCACGACAAATATAAAAATTAACAATTAAAGAACACTCTGTTCATGCTATCATCTTTTATTTTTCACATGTTGCATGATTCTGTGTTGATTGTTTATCAAGGTCAATAATGGAAAACTTTATCCTCAAAACCTGAGAGTTAATTAGTAGCAAACGTTGTCGATCAACAATCACTGAATGAAATATAATATGCTTATTATAGATTATTGATTCTTAAAAAAATGCTATCTAATATGCATAAAGGACTTAGTTTAGTATATATGCATGCCTATATTGGTTCAATAATTTTCTTCATGTTATAATTACAAGAAACTCGTTTCATATGACTTGAATTAGTAAATTTTGTTTATATTTTCAGTCTTTACTTTTGGGGATCCTCATGTTGACACATTGGATGGATTTCAATACACATTTAACGGCTGGGGTGAATACACAATGATGAAAATTGAAAATGAAAATGTAACTTTCGAAGTTCAAGCTAGAACAGATTTAGCAACCTCAAAGAATGGAACTGAACTGAAGAAAATAAATGCTACTATATTTAGTGGATTTGCTGCAAAAGAAGACGGAAATGCCTCTATGCAAGTAGAATTGGCCAGTGATTTGGAAAGTAAGTTATAAACCCTGGTTATGTTTAAAAACACCAGTATGAAATTATTATTTTTTTGTTTTGGTAACCTGACAAGCAGCATAGTAACTGTCATAAGGGAAAGATTTGTTATCATTTTTAGTTGTTTATAAAAATATAGATTCTATGATGATATTTATCCAATTGAGATCGTTCACTTTTCAAAATTTCAACTGTGATTGCCAAGCATTTTCATATTTGAAAACTTTTTGTACCAATAGTGGATATATATAATTTATTTATAACTTCTTACTTAAAATATGTACATGTTGAACACTTTTACAACCCTACAAAAGTACTATTAAATTATTATCATAACATTTTTACCCTTTAATCATGATATTACGAGTTAAATCAAGCCTTTCTTTTGTTTTTCTTTGCATTGTTTTCACATTATCAGGGAGAGCATGTGCAGTCATAGATGTTACATTCTATATGGAAATGAAATATAATTTTGGAATGCCTTAGCTAATCAAAATTTAAAGGAATGATATGAAACTTATCTGCAATGTAATAAGATAATGAAATATTATCTGTTCTATACTTCACTTTAAATATATGTTGTTATAGCTTGTCTTTTATAATATTTGAAAACTTTCTTAATTACAGCAATGGTTGTTTATGGTAACGGAAACGACTACACAACACAGTTCAATACTGATGAAAACTTTAAAGTTTTTCTAACTGGCATTGTATTGAGACGTCAAAATCATACACTTGCTGTTGCTTTCTCTGAGTCAGGTGATTCTTCCAATATCTTTAATCTATATGTAAATATATATATAGTCATCGTGTTGATATATTATTTGATTTTCATAGCAAGGGAGAGTTTTTAGGTATTATACCAATATTGCATTGGGAAAAAAAGACCCGCTAGATTTAGTCGACTTTGCCATTTTGGTTTACCCAAGATATTTGGTTTTGACAGCTGATAGTCTTATAATTAATCCTTGTTAAGGAAGATTTGTTGTACCATGCATGATAATTTAAGACTGTTACATATGTTTACTTTGAAAATCTTTAATTTTACACATATTTCTTGGAAAGAATAATTTGTTGAAATAAAGTAGTAAATATCTTTGACAAATGGCTGATAAATTTATGTATTCTTCCATGCCTACGGTCATTAACATTTTTGACAATTTTATTACATAAAATGAGCAAACAAATATTTACCGGTTGATATTGATTTATAATTCTTCATTAAATATAAGTCTTTACATTTGTAGGGATTCAGTTAAACTTTCAGGTAAAAACTCGGCAGTTGACTTTGTCAGCATCAGTTCCTGAGGATTTTAAAGGTCAAGTTACAGGTCTTATGGGAAATTTTGATGGCGACAAAAACAACGAATTTGTATTACCAAATGGAGATATACTTTCATCTAGTGATATTGATACTGAAAGGGAAATCTATAACAATTTTGGTCAGCTGTGTAAGTAATGAAATCTCATGTTTAGTGATGATCGTTTAGAAAAAAAATAACAAAAAAAACTCTATTTAATTAAAAATGTAAGTGATTTTTTGTACTTTTTTTGACTTATTTCAAAATCTTTTTGTTCTGAAATTTCTTTACTTTTAATTGTCAGAGTTTTTAGTGCATTAGACTTTACAATTCAATGGCTCAATTACATAATTTTTAGTACTCTTTAACAAATTTGAGTTATCTTTTTTATACGCCCGTCAAAATTTTGACGGGATGTATTATGTTATACAAATGTCGTCTGTCCATCTGTCCGTCTATCTGTTTGTCCGTCTGTCCGTCTGTCCGTCTGTCCGTTTGTCTGTCCGGCGTAAACATGTCGCATCACAACTTGAGAACGACTTATACAAATTTCATGAAACTTAACATAGTTGTTTCATATGATGGTCAAACGATCTGTATACTTTTTGGTGAAAATAAGATTAAAACTTTTTAAGTTACGGAACTTAGTAACTAAAACAGGTGTGTGTTTTTTTTTCACATGTCGCGCCGTATCTCAAAAACAATTTATGATTATTGCTTAAAACTTAACACACTTCTTAGTTATATTAGTCTTAAGATCTGTATACTTTTTGGAGATGATTCAAAATTCTATTTTAGACATATTGAGTATTTTGTTAAAAAAAGGGGGAGGGGTTTTTCACATCTCGCGCCGTATCTCAAAAACTGTTTATGATTATTGCTTAAAACTTTACACACTTCTTAGTTATATCAGAGACATATAATACAAGAGATTGGCAACTCGACGAAATCCCGTAAAAACACGCGGCCACTAGTTAAACCTCGCGAGATCTCCTTAGGTAATAAAGTCTTTAATAAAAGTATTAAAAGTACTCGAAGTAAATACGAATGGTTACTTGTAAGCATAACATTAACAGTTTCAGTGTTAAATTTATCATAATTAATTAAATAATTTGAGTTCATATATAATTATTTATTTTTATGTAATTTTGATTTTAGATTTGTATTATTGAAAAAGAGACATAATTTGATATTGTATTAAAAAAAATGTTATGATATTAAATAATTAACACTTGATAAATTAATTGTATCAGAGTTCATTTTATTTGATAGTTTCATAATGGGTTTCTATTGAATATACACCTGTCTCGGAGACATAATTTCACAGTGTGACATGTATATTAGGTTTGAATTATTCGATGACCAGGTAATCACGAACATGTCATAAATAATGAGTTTTAATTGACACCTTGTAAACAAGAAGTTGTTACACCACAGGTGTCCACACTCTTTTCAAAAATACAATTCACAAAATGTAAAATTAATTAATGTGGAAAAAACTTAATTGTCGGTAAATTTATGGTTTCTTCGTGTTCGAAGTGTGTATTGAGAATTAATATTTATGATAATTACAATTAATTTCTCATTTGAATAAAGCTTCATTCATGTGCACGCAATATGAAAAATTCCGATTTTATTTCGAAGGAAGACATAAGCGAGAGACCCACTAACAAAAACAATTGACAAAACTGCATACATAGATAGATATGTGTGTCCTCGAAGCAACAAAAATCTTAAAAAATAAACCACAACATTGAAGTGGGAGCCGAGGTCATACATCAAAGCAACATGGAAGACACTTTTTTAAAAGTATTTTATAACCTTATTTCCACGAGACAATCATTTGTAGTGGTTTTTGTCTTTTAATCATTTGTAGTGGTTTTTGTCTTTTTATTCTGGGGTAAAGAGATGGCAGTTTAAAAGTAAAATTGTTAATGTGAACATATACAAATCATTGATGCAAATAAAATCTTTTATTATTAAATATATATATATATCTTTTGATGTCACCATTAAAATGTCCTCAATACGATTTTAATTTGAAAATGAATTAGGTTCATGTTTTGAATGAGAAGCGTAGTCTGAAACGACAACAGATGCATGAAGCTCATTCATAATATTACGACCAGCAGAAGGTTTCCTTTTCTAGAAAATTTTACTCCTTTTGAAAATTTACTGCATTCGTTCATCTTTGGCACCCTAAAAAGAAGAAAAAACGATGACTTCATAATAGGAGAAAATAATAAATTTTGCCATAAACAGAATGAAAAATGAATAAATTGCCTACCAAAATGCAGGCTTTAAATTTCATAGTGCACAAACATGAAGGACTGATTTAAGGAAATTTTTCCATGAACAATTTCAATATTTAGCCAGTTTAATAAAAAAAAAGAAGAAAAAAATGAGAGAAATGTAAATCCCCATAATATGACATATTTATTTGTAAATTTCTAGTTTTGACGAAACAGATTGATAAAATTAGCATAGCTGGCTTTGTGTATAAATAACAAAATAATAGACACCCTGTTTGTGTGATATTTTTAGAAATAACTGTTGGATTAAATTTTACGAAACGTGGCTTATTTTCACGACATAACATCTGAGGGAAATATAGCCCAATACAATTGAATATTTATTTGCACATTTCCAAGTTTTACGAGATAAAATTATAGTACCAGCACAGCTGGCTTCGGGTATCAATAAGAAAAAATCGCCACATTTGTTGATAATTTAAAAAAAAAAAACAACACTATTGGATCAAATTTTACGAAAATAGTCTTATTTTCACGAAACAACATTTGGGAGTATTATTGCCCCATAAAATTATATATTTATTAGCATATTTCCAAGTTTTAAGAAAAAAAAATTGGCAGATCAAATGGTTTCTACAAGGAATTGTATATTTAAATATACAATTCCTTGGTTTCTGCGGCAATAGGTGAAGTAAAATGGGCCGAGTTTTAACTTTGTTTGTATTTGATTAATCTCATCATTCCAACACATTTTATTAGTAACAAATTATTAGAATTGTTTTTTTGTATCTTTTAAATATACTTACATTCTTTAGCTGTGAAAAGTATCGGCATTATCCATTATAAAAATCGTTAGGCGTAGGACCTTTTTCACAACAATGGCGGATTTTACCCAAAAATCCATCGGTATAATCGGCTTTCCGGTGGCCAAGTCATTTCATTGGCTGTTGTATAGACTCTACTAGAGTTGCGAATCTCTTGTATTATATGTCTCTGGTTATATTAATCTTAAGATCTGTATACTTTTTATTGATGATTCAAAATTTTATTTTTGAGTTATTGAGTATTTTGTTAGAAAAAGGGGGAGGGTTTTCTTACATGTCGCGCCGTATCTCAAAAACGATTTATGATTATTGCTTAAAATTTTATACACTTCTTAGTTATATTAATCTAAAGATCTGTATAATTTTTGGTTTTGATTCAAAATTTTATTTTTGAGATATTGATTTTTATTTTTTTTTAAAGGGGGGTTTTCACATGTCGCGCCGTATCTCAAAAATGATTTATGATTATTGCAGAAAAATTCACACACAAGATGACGGGCGTATCATGCGCTCATGGCGCAGCTGTTTATTAAACATAGTTATAATTTGTTTATCATAGGGGAGACAACTGCAGCCATTTCAATATTTGCTTATACTGATGGGAAATCATGGGCTGATTACAGTCACCAAGATTTTGTTCCATTGTTTATTGACGAGTTTAAAAATACTACCCTCCAGTCAGCCTACACCATCTGTGGTGGCAGTAGTGACCAGTATAAAGCTTGTATCTTTGATTTCCTGGCGACTGGTGATCAATCATTTGCTGATGATACTCAATCAATAAATGAGGAAGCTGAGTCTGAAACTGCACAATTACGTAAGTTTTGTTCTCATTTCTAAACTTTATAGACATTTTAACAAATTTTGTGAGGTGTAAACTTTTAATTCAATATAAAATTTTTGAATGTCTCAATCTTTCTTTGAGTTGAAGGACAGCAAATAAGAGCCCTGTTCATGTAAATAGAGTGTTGTGATTTTGTATAATGATCAAATACATCATATCCCCTCTTTTCTACAATGATTGACAGTGACAGAATCTTTTATTCAGATAATTTTGAATAAATCATATTAGCACATTTTAGGTCTTTTAATAATAGAATATGAAATATGAAGTGGCAAAATATTTTCAGAGTTGTGATCAATTTAAGTCTTTCAAGTTACATTTAACATTTGTTTGCTAAGTAATATTTCTTACCTACATTTATCTGGACTTTACTATATATTTGTTTTATTCTATTGAACAAATAAACGGTAAAAATAAAATGGAACATTGTCAGTGTCTTATCAAGAAAAAAAGATGCGATTTGATTAGAAGGCACTATTCTCTTGCACGCTCAATTCTAATAAATTTATAAATGTTGGATTGCAAAGGAGTAAAGCCAGTATAATTAAATCCCAATAAACAGCCCTGTAAAGGTGTATTTTTAAATAAATTCAATTGTTGGAGTAAATTTTGATTGCATGTTTCGCCATATGTATTATTTTGAAAGTATTATTAGAATAATTGTATATCTGCATCATTATATATTAGCCTGAAATAAAAATAGATTTCATTTTAGGTAATTTTCTAGAAATTTGTCATCTTTTCCACCGGTTTTTATGATTTCATCTATGGCGCCAACCCTCGCCTATTGAAAGTTTGGTTGAAAAGTAAAGAATGTAATATATAAAGAACATTTCAGCAAAATATTTATGTGCCAGGGTGGCTCCACTTTTAATTTTTCAGAAAACTGTCATATATTTTGCCAAATTATGCATAATCATAGTTGAATGGAATAAAAATAAAAATATAGTAAAGTCCAGATTAATGTAGGTAACAAATGTTGCGTTTCATAAAAAGATAATACACAGATGTGCTGCTGGTATAAGCCATAAAGGTTCATTTTCTGTTAATATGTCTGTAAAAACTGTGTACTGATCCTTTTATCTAATAATATGAATGATCCCATGTGGTCAACACATAAGTAAGCTATCACATATTTGCAAAGTTGACCTTTGATGTACTAGTATTTGCTTATTTGGTCTATTTTGGTCATATAGCTCTACAACTGTTTCGGGTCTTAAACATCCTTCCTTCAAATATTCGGCTTTGAGCGTTCCTGATGATGATAAATCTGCAAAAGCACTTCAGACGCATGAAATATATAAAGTGTTGTTTACATTTTACATATAGGAAGAGACCTCCTGTGCATTTTGACATCACAAATACTTGACCAGTTAACTAACTCCTTTGAAAACATTGGGGTTAGTATTCTTCAATCTTTGTTTTCTGTATAGACATATTTATAGACTGTTGTTTGTCTAGTGATCTTTTTCCTTTTGATTAAACTGTTCAATAATTTCATTATCTTCCAGGAAATGAGGCGCCAGAAATAAGTGGACAAGAATCTATCAAAGTAGTAGTAAATCAATCTGTAATTTTTAACTTCTCTGGTCAGGATGATAAAGCAGATTTTAAATACAGTATAATAGATCAGCCAGGTGAAGGCACTTTTACATCTGATAATTCTACAGGAAATCTGACATTAACATGGACACCTGCAAATCTCAATACAGAAAAAATCAGGTAAATTTTGTAGATATTTTGTTTTAAAGAAAGATTCAAGGGTTCAAAACAAGATTGAAACAATAAGGAAGTTCTACGTTTGATGCAGCATTGAATATTGGTATTCATTGTGTATTATATTTTCGGATTGAGTAAAATGAAGAAGAAGGCACATTTTTGGCTCGAAAATGACACTTATTTGCAATTAATATTCTAACATTTTCTTAAATTGTAAGAAATGTATTTTGATATTTTATCAACGTTTGATTCAAATTTTTTACTTTGATATATTGTTTACTGTTAGAACAATGTGCACATTGAATGTTAACGAAAAGTGTTTGGTTAAATTCTTTGGTATTGTGTTTCCCATAGTCTAGAATTGTGCAATGGATTTTCCACATTTGGCATTTTCCATCGTACATAGGAATTTTATATGATAACCTATATATTTGCTGATAAGTATACTTCTTGTATCCTTTGTATTTCCTTCATATAAGATATGATGTGGTATGATTGCCAATGAGACAACTATTATGGACCACAGACCAAATTAAGTAGATGTTAGCACCTGTCTTTAGAACTTGATTTTATCTTGTGTACATTCTTCTAGTTTTTTATATGGTTTTTGTATTTTGAAATTGCTGCATGAACTATGAATATCTGCCCAAATAAATCAAATCTATATTAGTAGAAATGCTCCTCTTTTGTCTACTACCAAGAGCTTTAAGGGATGTATTGTTTGCCAAGAAAGAAATGAAACTTATCAAAGATACCAGTCTTATAATTGCCAAAATTCCAAGACGATTGCCTGTGCTAAAAGGGCATTTTTTGTATTTGCGAACTGTTTTAATCTGAATCATTTCCCATAAGTTAAAATTATAGCTAATGATCATCAGTTTTCTAATTCTTTTGAGTTTATACCTTTTGTATTTTATTTTCTAAATGATATTATGTGAAGGGAGGAATATTAAATTTCTTTCAGACTTTGATTAAATTGCAATATCAATGTGTAATAATATTACATAAACTTCACAGGGTAACTACTGTAGACAGTGATGGTGTAACAGCAGATGCTATAGAGGTGGTGATTATTATGTGTAGCGGATGTTCCGGTGACCAAGGAACATGTGATTATGACACTCTCAGAAATGAAACCAATCCCAACTTCTTGATTGCCTCATGTAACTGTACTACTGGTTGGTCTGGTAAGGACATATTTCTTTGTTTTAAATATAGTTGACATTTGATTTCAAATTGTATCTGTTAGATAATCAAATCTGGAATTAAGCTATGGTAATTGTACAATGTTCTGTTATATAAAATTTAAAAGTATTTGGTATCTAAATAATCAAATCAAATCAAAGCAGATACTAGAAATCACATTTTTCGAGTGTATTGGTATTTTCCTAATCTTGCAGTTCATTAGCTGTTGTATCAACTTGATCAGACAAACGTGCTTTCAAAATTATTTGTATGAAATTTTGGTCCAAACCAATGTTAAAAACCGTTAAGTTAAACACTTGAGGAACTATCAAACTAAAATCGCATTGAAAGGACACCAGCAGCTGAGTGACTGACCACTGTGTAAAAGAGGGACGAAAGATACCAGAGGGACAGTCAAACTCATAGATCGAAAACAAACTGACAACGCCATGGCCAAAAATAAAAAGACAAACAGACAAATAATAGTACAGATGAAACATAGAAAACCAAAGACTAAGCAACACGAACCCCACCAAAAACTGGGGGTGATCTCAGGTGCTCCGGAAGGGTAAGCAGATCCTGCTCCACATGTGGCCTCCGTCGTGTTGCTTATGTTATTACAAATCCGGTAAATAGTCTAATTCGGTAAGTCACATTCGTGAAAAAGGAGGGTATTGTAGTTACGACATAAGGAACATATCCGATATCATCTGTGAAGTGCGTTCCTGAGATTTTGCATTTTACTGGAAGCCGCAAAAACATAATAGAATAAAAAAAACAACAACAAGAAACCAAATTTAATTTCTTACAGCATATGTACTACAGTAGTGACATCCTTTGGCTCTCACAATCCATTTGTCCTTTGGTTGAAAAACAAAATTACAAAATACACAACTGAATTTAATTCAACAACATTTCACATGCAAATTATTATGTTAAAATAATATTTACATATTTAGTTAAAAATTATGAGTTTGTTAACATAACAATGTGTCGTCATTGACTTCAATCATATGAGAACATATTCTACACAAATTGAAAGAAAAGTGTTTATTCAGTATAAGACATATTACATTGAGAACTGCTGTCTACTTTGATTCTGTCCCGTCAGATATCTTTAAGAATATAGTTAATTCTGTATTCTAATATGACGTTCTTCAAACGCTTTGAGTACACACCCGTGATAAAATATGAATATATTGATATTTCAGCTGATCGTAAACGTCATGTATTGTTTGGGCTGTTAAATCTAACTCCCACGTCGTTTGCTTACTATGAATGAGTTACCCGAGGTCAGACGGTGTAAATAACGTCATTGAACGATGACGTAAGAATATAAGCCATCTACGGGAAAATGCACGAATTTGAAACTGAAAGTCGTCAAAACATGAAAACATAAACAAACGATGATAAGAATTTGTTGAAAGCCCATTTTCTTAAATAAAAGTAAGATAATTAATCTACTTCGTCCTAAGCTGTCTTAGTATGTTATTGTAAATCATTTAAGCATGTCACTTATTAAGTTTTCTTCGTATTTTACGTCAATATTAATAATGTGTTCAATTACGGGAACAGCAAACATTTCCCTTCACCTACAGCGCTTCGAAACAAAATGATTGTTGTCTTCGTCCTATTAGAATAGATATAATTCATGGGGGCTTAAAATTATATTGATTTTACTACGGGTTGGCCCTTTATGCTGATATTTTACCCCTCGCTCGTGGTAAAATATTTAGCATAAAGGGCCGACCCGTGGTAAAATCACAATTAATTCAAGCCCCCATGAATTATTTCTTAATCATATATATCTAGTCTAAGTCAAAAATATTGTACTTAAAATTTTATTTCATAAGATGTCAACTACAATACCTTTGATTTTCTTTTTTTATAATTTGTATATTGGTACTGTTTTATTTTGTAAGATAACAAGTTATCATCAATACCAATCATATAATCATTTGTCCGAGACCAGCTTTTCAACTACATTTGACTCATCAGCAGCACTCATATCAAAATAGTTAGACAGCAAAACGTAATTATTACAAAGTCAAATTACTGAATTGAAAACCAAAATTTCCAAATTGTAGTTCTGAATCTGACCAAGGCAATCTATATATCTATAAGGTTGAGAGAAAAAACATATGTATCTGTGTGCTTTGTATGGGATACCAGTAGGATTGCCATCCATCTTTGAGGACATGTACAATAAATACATACATAACTATATTCCTTCCCTTTTTTAGGTGATGACTGTGAAATTGATACAAATGGTTGTGTTGATAACCCATGTGCTTTAGGACGTACCTGTATAGATTTATTACCAGGTGATGAAGAAGTATTTGGTCGCGGTTACAACTGCTCTAATTGTCCAGCCGGCTATAATATTACAGCCGATGAAAAGTGTGAAGGTAAACAAAGAGACCGATTGATTAAGAATTATTCCAATTGAAGGGCATGAATAAGGAACCTTTTTCATTATGAATTTAAACAGTTGAAGTAAAGCCTTAATATTTCAATATCAACCCTTTCCACACACAAACTCTTATTGAATAAATTTGATTCATTGATATTCAGATGAATTTTCCAAAATTATGAATCATTCTTTATAATAGATGAATACATGATTTCTTTATCTTATATCACATCATTTTTCTTTTACCGGTCCACAGTATTGTATTCTTCCTGTAATGATTTTCATTGCTCTTCGGTATTTTCCTACGTTTTTCTCATAACTCTTATAATATTTTGTGTTAATTGAAAAAAAAAGAAATGCCAACTTTAAAAGTGATTGAGTATGATGCCAGTAAAATTACGCTTTTATTTTTAGATATAAATGAATGTTTAGATGGAACAGATAACTGTCCAGCAAACAGTAATTGTACAAACACAGATGGAAGCTTTACATGTATCTGTCTAGACGGGTTCAGAGAAGTTGGTTCTGAATGTCATGGTTTGTACTAAGATAACAAAAGTTTAAAAATTTGAGGCTCAGTTAATTTAAATGATGTTTGAGACATTTTGATGTGAAAGATAAAATAATCTCTGTGACTTTCCAAGCAGATGTTTATGTCTGGAGTTCATACAAAAAGGGGCATTATTAGTTCCTATCTAGAGACATTTGACTTTGGGCAATTTTCCTTCTTCAAAAAATGGATAAAAGTTTGTAACTCTAATGATTTTAGTCACAAATAACACACTTTAAAGTCCTATACCAATAATCTACCAAAAAAATTGTATTTGTGTAACACATTGACACCATTTATCTTTACATAATTATAAAATGAAAGAATTTCAATGAAATATGATATCTTATTTGAATGTTGAGCAATACAGAAATGAGAACTGTTAATTATAAACTTTAGAAAATCAACTGGTGCAAGCAAGTTTAACCAGTAATAAATTCAAATCACTTTAATTATATTTTCACAGACATTGACGAATGCACTGAAAGAACAAGTGGTTGTGAACAGATTTGTGCTAATTGCGATGGAAGCTTTACGTGTAGTTGTGTGTATGGATTTGAGCTGGTAGCTGACGGTAGCTGTAATCAAAGTAAGTTTAATTGGGAACCTAAATCGCTACTTTAACTGTAATTAGAATGAGGCTGTATTGACTGTTTGAAATTGTGTTAGTCTAGTTTTTCATTCTGTTTATTTTATTTAAAATTAAAATTTTATGTGACTTTCAGCAGGTGATTTTTGGGAAAGTTTTTTGATCGTAATACGATACTTCAAGATTTGTTTTCATCGTAAGATATATGATATCTTTATTGCATTTAATAACTTTTAAGTGATGTTGTCAACATGCTTCACCAAGTCATTATCCTGCTCTTCCTAGTCAAATCTTGAAATTACTGATTGTTTAATCTTCTTTCCAGCAATATTTGATGTCTGTGCACTGCAGAATTTAACCTGTAGTTATGGTTGTGATAATACTACAAATCCAGGAACGTGGGAGTGTATATGTGCTGAAGGGTATCAACTTGATAGTGGCAGCGGAAATTGTTCTAGTAAGTGTCATTTATATAAGAAGATGTGGTATGATTGCCAATGAGAAAACCATCCACCAAAGACCTAATAACTTAGATTTGAGCAACTATAGGTAACTATACAGACTTCAGCAATTAACAAAAATCATACCGTATAGTAAGCTATAAAAGACAACAGCATGACAAAACGAGAAAACCAACAGCCTTCTTTATGCAAAAATAATAAACAATGACAACCACTGAATTATAGACTCATAACTTGTATAGCACCCTTAAAAAGGACAGAGTACTTCAGAATTTATTGTGAGGTTTTTATCAATGCCAATAATGTGACTGGGTGAGTATCACGATAATAAGAACTCGCATTCTGGTATCTGATACATATATCTTAATCCCGATTATCCTGAAATCGCAAAAATTAATCTCGCGTTTTGTCCATTCTTCAAAAATCGCAATAATAAATGCATACAATAATTTCTGAATTTCAGTATACTCTTGTCAATGCATATACCTATATTTACTACAGCTGTGCTATTTACGCAGTCTGATTGCATTGACCGTATAATCATTTGTGATATACAGTCACTAACCGTATATCGCCTTGTTTGTGACGTTGACAATGCGTTTCGGTACGGTTTTATGTATGATGTCATTAAAAGTACAGGTTCGCAGAATGTTTACGTCGCTCACTCTAAATTAAAAAATGATGGTTTTTATCCTAAATATTTCATTTGAAACAGTTGTAGGAGTTGCAGTATATAAAAAATAATCATAAATTGTCTGGAAATATAAATTGTATTTGTACTGGGCTCAAAACAGGATAGAAATGCTCGGCAAAGCCTCGCTTTCTACTATTTCTAAGCCTTTTACAAATGAAATGTATATTTCGAGACAATGTATGGTTATTCTATATTTCCAAAGTTTGATTTGTAAAAAGCCCACAATCAGAAAAGCAGAATAAAATTTCTGCATTTTGATTGTCAAACAACAATATGTACATGTATATACCAGATTTGATATTGATATATTTCACAAACTTTAGAATGAATGATATACGCCGGCATGTATATAGATTTCTTGATCATTCCATCTAGTGTAATATACTTTTACATCAAACTCCTGTCATATGGCAAAACTGTTTTATAACTAAAATTTGCATACAGTGTAAGTGAATTGATATATGTGGTAATCTTTCTGCAACAATTGAAAATTTTACATTTTAGATATCAATGAATGTGATGCTAATGTATGTACACAGAACTGTCAAGATACTGTTGGTAGCTATATCTGTTCCTGTTATAGAGGCTTCAAATTAAATGCTGATAAAACGTCTTGTTCAGGTATGAATTCAAGAAAATTTTTAAAATTTAATGCATGTACTTGAATATTTGATTGTTATGGTTCAGATATTTTACAACAATCTATCTATTGAATATATATCAGTTGGATAGTTATACACCATCATTAGTAACGCCTTCAAACACAATAAAAATGAAAAAAAAATCAATATAGACTCCTTACAACAATTTTTATTCTAAATATCATTGCCCATCACATAATTAAACAAATTAGTTAGTCTAAAAGGAATAATTTTATTTTTGCAACTTAAATTGTAAGGTGACAAGAAAGTACAGTTTTATCATTAATACAATCGAACATAATATATATAAATGGATTTTTTTATTATGTGTATTAACAAGCATGCTCTATTTTGTGAAAGCCTGTTTGAGTCCATTTTATGGTGACAACTGTGCAAGTCAATGTAGCTGTGGACCAGGCGCATTAAGATGTGATCCAAGTCGTGGATGTGTTTGTAACAGTGCCTGGACTGGAACTAATTGTGATGTTGATGTCAATGAATGTGTAGAAACTCCAGGCATATGTCAAAATGACGACAAGACTTGTGCGAATGAAGATGGCGGTTATGAATGTAATTGTAGATCGGGTTTTGAAAAAGTGTCTGCAGATGACAGTTTTCCTTGTGCAGGTAAATATTAGGTAGAAATAGGTACAACATGTATTTTATAATGTATTTCATAAATACATATTGTAGAATGAAAAAGTCTAGTTTGTATTGTTTGAATCTAAATAGTACTACTTAAATGTCATTTGGTTGCAGTTTATATAAAAACATTACTCAAATCAATTTAAGGACAGGTGTAATTGTTCTTGATTATCTAGACATGACGTAATGCATTGTACCTTTCTTATCTAAATGTTAGCTTGAACTAGATATAATTTCCTTTTTTTAACCCGTTGTATGAATACACTCGTATTATTACAGCCTTTTGTCATCACAGGCTGTTTCCTAGTATCGATTAATATGAAAATCATAAACGGCATTTTCTTAAATATATAAATAGAGGTATTGATTTTATTAACTTATCTAGCATATTCAATGACTCTACCATCCAAAGCCAAATACCTCCATATTTTGATAATATAGAACCACCTGTTATTTCGTATTCTTTTAAAAAAAACCAGCAGAAGTTTGATTTTTAATTATACGTCAGTTAGATCAGACGTCAAAATAGAAAATAATGTTAAGACCGTGAGGTCAAAACTTTTCTTAAGAAAGGACCTAAATATCGTCCTCTATCTATAATAGATTGGAAACAGTGTCGTCAGGTCATTAAAGACGCTCTGTCTGCCTACTGTAAAAATTGGTGTACACGTGGAAATTCTGATAAATCTCTAGACAGTTATTTGAATAAAATTATGAATACTGTTGATATTCGTATACCTCATTTTGAAAACAATTCTGAAATTAATAATAGGGTCCATGATATTCTTATTTCTGAATAAAAAATAAACTCCAAGTAGTCGCAAAGCGGTTTGTGTTTGTACCGGCAGACAAAGCAGCCAATAATGTAGTGGTGGTGTGACGCATATACTACACGGAAGTTCTCCAAAACGAAATTATCAATTCTTCTACATTCAGGACCGTACGCTCTACAGAGAGTCAAATTGTAAACAAGCATATCACTGCCACTACCCAGCTTAAAGCCTCTTCCGAACATTTGAAAGTCCTTACTATGTACTGGCTACCTAAATTGCACAAAAAAACATTTAAATTCCGTTTCATCTCCGCATCTAGGAAGTGTTCTACTACTAATCTATCAGTGCTTCTAACTACCTCCCTTACTACTATCAAAGAACTTGTTATTAACTTTTGTAATAAAGCTTATGAAAAAAATGGTAATAATTATTTTTGGAGTGTTAAAAATTCTTTATAGGTTTAGATAAAATACATGCTATTGATGATCCTTTTAATTCTGTTGACAGTTATGATTTTTCTACTCTCTACACTTCCACACACTCTTTTCAAGAAAGCGTTTTCATATTTAATAAAATGGTCTTTTGAAAAATCTCATTGCAAATTTATTTGCTGTAACTCGTTTAAAGCTTTTTTCTGTAACGAAAAAGGAAAGTATGCTAGATACACTTACTGGAAATGTGAAGATATGATTGAAGATTTAAATTTTCTCCTGGAAAACATATATGTACGTTTCGGCGATAATGTGTATTGACAAGTAGTAGGTATTCATATGGGCACTTACTTATTGCTATGAATCTCAGTTTATGACCAACTTCAGTAAAGACACGTCATTGTTACATTTGGTTAATACATTCAACAATACCTACCGTTATCTTGATGATATTGTTTCGTTAAATAATCCAGAGTTCTCTAAATATATTACCTAAATTTACACAAAGGAACTTACTTTAACTAAATCTAACAGCAGTAGTTGTCTTTTTCTAGATTTAGACATTTCAATTTCTAAAGGGAAACTCCATACTTAAATTTACGACAAAAGAGACGATTTTTCATTCCCTAATGTTAATTTTCCTTTTTTAGATGGCGATGTGCCTTTGGCTCCACCATACGGTGTTTATATATCCCAACTCGTTCGTTATGCCTGTGTGTGTAGTGATGTCATAGATTTTAAGGAACGTAATCAATGCATCACTGGTAAATTATTAAGTCAGGGATTTCGTTACCATAAATTACTTAAAACTTTTACTAAATTCTTTCATAGATACAAAGATTTGATTAGTAAATTTGGCTGTACCTGTAAAAAACTTATTAAAAACGGTATTTCACATCCTAAATTGTACAGTAATATTGTACTAAAAGCGCGGAAATCACTATGTGATCCGTGTAAACTCATCGAACCTTTATACAAACTTATTAGTAAAGGTTATCTTACCAATGTTGTAATTAGATCTTTGAATATAGTTTACATTGGCACACATATCGATTTTGTCATCAGCAAATTAAAACATAACTAAATTTGTATTCTTTTCAAACGGGATGTATAAAGACACATCCACGTTCATTTATTTTTATAAAGAGGTTAACTCTTAACTATCCTACTGCCTGTTGATACATTTATTTTTGGCATTGCACAAGTCATGTCTTCTTTGACTGTCCATGACGTCAAAATACTAAATCCCTGGGATGTGTTTTAGTTGATTTTAGTCTCTGATGCATGATTTTTTTATTATTAATTGTTTTTGGCTTTTAACTAGCTGTCAGTAACTGCGAGTACTCTCAAATCGTACTTTTTTGTTAATTTGACCTGTTGATACTATTTGTAATGCTTTTTTGTTATCTAATGTTTACTTATTCAGGGTTATATCTCGTCTATATACCAGCTTTGATACGTGTTTGGTATGACTATAAATTTTAACTTCTTCGTACTTTGAACAACAAACTTATTTATTTTGTAAAAAATATTTCCGTTCTCCATTTAAACTGTATACCTTACAACAACATTATTTTCATTTACCTGTGTATATTATTGTATTTGGTGGCCTTTTGTTCAAGGTTGTTGTTTTTTTTTTAAATTGTTTAACATCTCACAGCGGATTACTACTGTTGCCTTTATTTATTCACCCCTTATTTTATTGATTTGGTATTTACATTGTATCATAGATCAAATGTATTCGATCAGTGTATGTTCACTTGTGTTAATATGTCTTTTGATTGAGGTAAGCCCTTTCAATTGATGTTTTATAGTGTGTCTTCCTATGTTGTGATGTTACACTATTGTTTCAGATAAGGGTAAAGGTTGGTACCTTTTAAAACGCTTAAACCCGCTGCATTTGTTTGCACCTGTCCTAAGTCAGGAATCTGATGTTCAGTAGTTGTCGTTTGTTGATGTGGTTCATAAGTGTTTCTCGTTTCTCGTTTTTTATATAGATTAGACCGTTGGTTTTTCCGTTTGAATGGTTTTACACTAGTAATTTTTGGGGCCTCTTATAGCTTGCTGTTCAGTATGAGCCAATGCTCCGTGTTGAAGACCGTACTTTGACCTATAATGGTTTACTTTTACAAATTGTGACTTGGATGGAGAGTTGTCTCATTGGCACTCATACCACATCTTCTTATATCTATAACGGTGTATTTGTTGCAGTCAAACCAGTTTCAGGTTACAGTTTCAGGGTTTAATGGTTTGGGTTTAAACCGGTTACGGTGCACCATTTTTCTGATAATGGTTTGTTAAACTGTTCACACTACACGAGGAGGTTTGATAAGTTTAAGAAACTGATTTCAATTTTCAAGGAACAAATGTAAAACACCCTTTCAGTTTCGAACTCGTTCAGAACCACTTTGGAAAAACGAACAGAAGGTTTATCAAACCAACCAGAAACTGAAACCAACAAATTTGCCATTAATGTTTAAAGTTTCAACATGTTAGATACATTTATGATAAGCCTATGAGAAAGGATGATATCATATTGCAGGCATTCATATGTAGTATCTCTTGTGATTCAATTATTTATGATAACAAATTTAACAAACCTTGATATAATTATATATATCCTTTTTCATAGTTCAAAATTATTTTCTTGTCAGACTAGGAAATAACTGTGATTTTCTAAGCAATTTCTAAATTAGATTAAGAAGAAGAAAAGGTGAAGAACTTTATAATTAATGAAATATTAGGTCAAATACTTTTTATTGTTGTTGTATTTTATATCAATAGAGTCTGCCACAATGTTTCATCAATATATCTTTATGCTTCATTTTAGATATAAATGAATGTAGTAGTGCAACAACAAACAATTGTTCAACAACAACTTCAACGTGTCAAAATACAGATGAAGGATATACTTGTAGTTGTAACCCTGGCTACCAAACGAAAAATGTGTACGAATGTGAAGGTATGATCATAAATGTAAAACATAAACATTTAGAAAATAAATTATATATGTCTCTATATTTCACCGTAGAGATACCGTAAGATCTAAGTTTTTGAAAGATGTAAGATTCCACGTTCAAATGTAACACCATGCACAAATTTTAATAGACTAGAAAAACAAAGGATATGGGGTATCCATCCATGACACAAAATCAGTACACGCACAGCAAAATATACACAAAAAGCAAAGGAACAACGCTTATATTGCTATTCTGCATCTCAAAGTCACAGTGAGGCCTTAGTTAATTATACAAGTCAACAGGGGCAGATCAGGCGTGGCACACCTAGTGCCTACCCCAAAAGGTGAGATTTTTTTGTGGCATAAAACAAAAAGACTTTTCATTGCTCTGCTTGGTAAAATTGTTAATGTCACCTATCAAATCTTAAATCCTGGTTCTGTGCTTGGTCCAGATACTGAGTAATTCATGATTTTGCTGAGGTAGATTGCTACATCATTTAATGAAAAGTTATCTAACCTTACATGATTGATGGCATGATGAACGCAACATTGAATTGCCTGACAGACAACTAAATTAAAAAAAAAAGGTCATATATCAAGTGTATCAAGTGTTAAAACAAGGAGAAAAAGATGGTACATGTATATGATAAAAAAGCAATAAGTACAAAGTTTTGTAATTTTTTGTCATATTACCAATACACAACTAAGCAAAATATAACACAAATTGTAAACTAAGAGAATTACTTGAAACCTTGATATAGCAATTATTGCTATCGGTCACTTGCCCTATATTCTTTATTGTCATATAAAAAGTCAAAATTGAACCTTTTTTTTTATCCCTCATTCATGACATGCAATGTGTTGACTATCGCTATTGTTTAGTAAAGATGTGATCAGGTTGGGGTACATACACCAATAAGAAACCAACCCAATGACAAAAATAACCCAAAAGACTCCTAGAGAGAAACATAGTGTTCAACAATAGACTGGTGTTTTATACAGTATTTCAGACTCTAAATCATCCTTCATCTATAAAATTGTAAATAAAACCAGAAACATTGAAAGATATCTGCCATTTACACTAAATTTTCGGAATGACAAAAATATTAAGCTATGACATAGGACAACCGCTGGCAATGTATTTGCTTTATAACTTAGTTGGTAGCAATAGATCTTAATTCAAAATGACTATAATATACTACAGATGTAAATGAATGCACAACAGAGTCTGATGATTGTGAACAAGACTGTGTCAACAATGTGGGAAGTTATAACTGTCGATGTTTTTTTGGTTATGAACTCAACACTGACAGAAAAACTTGCAAAAATGGTAGGTTAATAAGTTTCTATATATTAAATAAGTTTCTGTATATTAAATAAGTTTCCGTATATTAAACTCTTACTTAAATGTGGAGAAAGAGACTTGATTACACAAAATGAAAACTATTACAAGTAATGGATATTAATGTTTATTCCTCAGTTTTTATCAGCAAGGAGTAAATTATTGCTACACTTAGCAAACACGTCCTGCAATGCAGTTTGTAGCTTTTCTCAAATACAAGTGATTTTTTTACATTTTAAGATGTATTCGATATTTAAGAAATATGTACACAACTGTTTTTTTTAAATCAGCATAATTATGTAATATTTACGACATCTCAGCAATTTTATCATATGCAGAATCTTTCTGTATTATTAATCATATTCAATGTTTAAATAAAATACTATAGATTTAAGGTACTCTTCTATCGCAATATTTCTGATGCTTTTTACTGATACTTTTTACCTTTTATTTTTGAGTTACATTTCTCTATTTAAAACTATACTCTTCAAAAATATTTTGCAGATGACAGATTTTAACATATGATATATGATTTACATTTTAGTGTCTGATCCATGTGGTACCCTGAGTAACCTGACCTGTAGTTATGCATGCAGACTATTTGAAAGCACGGCATTTTGTTATTGTCAGTCTGGATATGTACTACAGGCTGATAACCAGACTTGTGCAGGTAAATCATTGTTAATTGATTTTACTGTATATAACCAGTGTCACTTATAGTTATCAAAGGTACCAGGCTTATAATTTGATACGCCAGACGCGCGTTTCGTCTACATAAGACTCATCAGTGACGCTCAGATCAAAATAGAGTTAGAAAGCCAAAAAAGTATAAAGTTGAAGAGCATTGAGGACCAAAAATTCATATAACATTGATGGTCACAGATATTATTCTATGTATTCATATATCAAAAGACTTTGTAGTGAGCTAAACAAAAATGATGTTAACAGAATAGAGAATGGAAACAGGGAATGTGTCAAAGATACATCAACCCAACCAAAAAGCCAAAATCCGCCACCAATGGGTCTTCAATGCAGCGAGAAAATCATGCTCCCGGATGTGGTTTCAGCTGGCCCCTAAACAATAATGGTCAGCGAAATGGACGCCACACTTAACTCCGAAACATACAAATGAACCAAAATTAAAACAACACACAAGACTAACAATGGCTAGAGGTTCCTAAATGTATGGAAATATGATAATATCATATAATGATTTGGAACAAATAATTGTATTAAATGTTCTATTCTTTTTTAATTTTAGCACAGCTAAATTTTTAAAATGTTTATTTTGTTTGTAGATATAAATGAATGTGACGATGACAGTAAAAATCTGTGTACAGATAAGTCAATTTGCACAAATATAGCAGGAAGTTTCCAATGTAGTTGTGCAATTGGTCAGTTCTTGGAGAACGATCAAAGAACTTGTTCAAGTAAGTACAACATATTTAGAAAAACAAAATTAATCTATAAGTTTTTTTTTTTTTTTTATTATTAAAATGAGATATGACAAACTGCTGTTGTTATAATATAAATACAATTGCAAGATCCATTGACAGAAAAACAAATTAAGTTATCAAAATTAAACTAAGCATGGACAAATTGAATTAAAGAATATTTCCTGACATATTGGTGACATAATGCTTTATGTACATTTCAGATTGTGATCAGTTTCACTGGGGTGATAACTGTAATAATACATGTAACTGTGGCATTGGGACAGAGAGGTGTGACAGAATTACTGGATGTGTGTGTAAATCAGGATGGCAGGGGACCAAATGTGATGCTGATATCAATGATTGTAATATAATGAACCCTTGTGATACCTCTGCCAATCAAAGATGTGTCAACACACCTGGCTCATTTGTCTGCAAGTGTGTGGCTGGTTATCAGAATGGAACAGGAACCTGTACTGGTAAAAGAAAAAAAAGCATGATTTTAATTTCAATATTGTTATCAAAATGTTTTTCGCTTATCTATTAGATTTAAATCCAAGAGAAAATGTCTTCTTAAATGATAATGAAGTTAATTAAACTTGAATAGAACCAAATACCATCAAACCATAAAACATCAAGTAATACAATCTTTTTCAAGTCTTTTCTACATTATAAAACAAATTATATTATAGGTTGCTTTATGAATTTATTTGTGATCATGTTCATTTTAAGTTTTTTGTACAAAGGCTTGGATTATTTAAACGTGCAAATGTAGAAGTAATTGAATCCAGTTTTAAATTTCAGAATTTATTTTTTTTTCGTGTAAAGTGCTTGAGGGCTCTTAAGAAAAACCTGATTACTTCTTTCAGATATAAACGAGTGTCGTAACAATCCATGTGATCAATTATGTACTAATACAGATGGAAGCTATACATGTAGTTGCAGAACCGGCTTTACAAAAGATGCTAATGAGAAATGTCAAGGTAATATTGATTATTTAGTATTTTGTTGTAAAATTCTACATCAGTTCTCCATATCACAATGTTATGCATTCTGTGTAATAATTCTATTAGCATATATACATCAAAATGTTAAATGATTAGCTAACAATTTTTTGAACAATAAAAATTCAGCTAATGACTTGACATTATTTTCTTTAAGGAGAAAACAGTTTAATAACGCATGGTCTTTTTGATTCTGAAATTGTAAATTAAGAAGTTGTATAAATATTTTAGTTATTTTCACCTCTTATTATTTGAATCAAAAGACAACTTGATATAGAAAAAGTTAAAAATTTAAATAGAATAAATTTGAAAATTGTTTTTATAGGCTGCTTAAATAGATAAACACAAAAAAGTAATTGAGTTAAAGAAAGAAATATAATGAGTTGCAACTTTTTGAAATTGCTGCCAAAATATATAAAAAAAACTTTTATTCAGTCATGTTTTAATGAACTTTGTTAAGATGAATAATGAGAAATTTTATTTTGTAGATATCAATGAATGTGACACAGCCTTGAACAAGTGTGACCAGAACTGTCTTAATACTCCAGGAAGTTATAAATGTTCTTGTAATGATGGATACATACTCCACCCAAAAGACCAGAGGACATGCAAAAGTAATTTTTGCCACTTTTTGTTAATACCATAGTTGGAAATTAGAATTAATTCCCATTTCCTATTATCCTTTTTTATTAAAAGTATTTCATGTTGGTTGTTAAAAGGTAAAAAATTGATTAAATTATCAGACTTGTGTTTTGAATAAATTTTACCCTTTTTCTCGATACCAGTAAAATGATTTTAAGATTGGTATGATGTAATTTATAAAAAAGGGCTTTAAAATTTTAATGCACCTATCATATATGAAAAAATCAAGTAAAATATGACCACAAATTTGTGTATGCATTGCAATATTCATATATGTATTTATTATTTAATTCACAGTTAAGACCCAATGTTCCAAATTCAATTGTACTGACCCAGGAACTTGTGCTGTCAAATCTGATGGATTGGAATACTGTACATGTCCAACAGGATACAATCTAACAATGATGACTGATAATATAACTGGAATCTGTGAAAGTATGTTTTTAATATTTCCCATTCTTAGTAGTTTGAGACAGTTAAGATTTGCAAAATGTGCTCCATGGATATGACTGATAATATTTACATAATTATTTAGACTTAATCCATCATTATGTTAATAACTTACACTGGTAAGGGTAATTGATAATAATCCTTATGAATAAAAGGAGATGTGGGATATATTTTAATAAGACGGCAACTCAACGACAAAATTAACAACAGATATCTAGAGGAGAACACACAGTCTTCAACAATAGATGCACCTTATTAACATTTCCATACATTCATTGTAAAACATGCTACGCATTTCTCAAAAACTTATAACAGGAATTAGTCATAAAAGAGGGACGAAAGATACCAGAGGGACAGTCAAACTCATAGATCGAAAACAAACTGACAACGCCATGGCCAAAAATAAAAAGACAAACAGACAAATAATAGTACAGATGACACAACATAGAAAACCAAAGACTAAGCAACACGAACCCCACCAAAAACTGGGGGTGATCTCAGGTGCTCCAGGAGGTGTAAGCAGATCCTGCTCCACATGTTGCACCAGTCGTGTTACTTATGTTATTACAAATCCGGTAAATAGTCTAATTCGGTAAGTTACATTCGTGAAAAGGGAGGGTATTGTAGTTACGACATAAGGAACATATCCGATATCATCTGTGAAACGGTTATTCCATAACGGTCAACCAACTCGTGATGGCGTCCGTAAAATTTACGAAGGAATGACTTCAACTTCACCATTTGGAACTCTTGGTTTAATAGCTTCCTTGTGAGCAGCAATCCTCTATCAAGGAAATCATGATAGGAAACACAAGCCCGGAAATATCGTATCAATTGGGAGATATATACTCCGTATGCAGGCGCTGCTGGAATGTTGCTACAGAGAAATGGAAAGTTCACAATTGGGAAGCTGAAATCATCTCTTTTGTCGTAAAGTTTTAATTTCAACCGACCCTCATTGTCAATCTCTAGACGTAAGTCAAGACACGAGGCAGACTTAACTGTATCTGTAGTATCCTTTATCTCTAGTTCGATGGGATAGATTGCATAACGTTTGCAAGGATATGGATTATTTTGGAACTCTGATAATGTGAAAGAGTATTGTTTTCAATAAAATCTAAAATCCATTAATCATAGTAAATCACAATAAATCTCTTCACCAATTTCATTGTAATAAATTCAGACAAAGAACAACAAAAACAACTAATAGTAAATGATTAAACTCTGAAAAAGTTTCTAAAACAGTATCTATATAGCTCACATATTAAAAAACTGAAATTGAGAACTGAAATGGGGTATATTTATTGAATATTTCAGACATCAATGAGTGTGAGCTAAACAATCCATGTGCTAATGAGTGTACAGATAAAACACCAGGGTACGAATGCTCCTGTACCGAAAATGGTACAAAACTGGACAGTGATGAACAGAGTTGTACAGGTTGGTATACTATTTTGTGGAGTGAAGATTAATTATACTTCATTTGTTTACTGTTTAAAAAAAATAAAAAAACACAATGTAGAAAGAATGTTTAGAAATAGACAGATAAAAAGTAGTTGAACATTGTATTGAGTATACATTCATATTTTTTCTTTAAGTTAATACATGTACATATATTCATTAAAAAATATTGATATTTATATATATGTATATCTTTGTGAAATTAAAATACAACAAATTCCATGGTGTTGATTTATACTAAACTAAATTCAATCATTTCTTTAGCTTGTGCTGAAGGAGAATGGGGACAGAACTGTGTTAAAAACTGTACATGTGTGATAGCAAACACCAATTCTTGTAAAAAAACAGATGGAAGTTGTAATTGTAAAACTGGCTGGGAGGGTGATAATTGTGAATCGGATGTCAATGAATGTAGCAACACAACAATATGTCAAGCTAATTCCATGTGTGAAAACACCAATGGATCCTATGTTTGTGTCTGTAGAGATGGTTATTTTAACTCTGGAGATGTTTGTAAAGGTTAGTTTTCAGAAAAAATATATTTTTATCTATAATTATTTTGTACTTTTTAACTGACTATTAACTTCAAATTGTTTGTTATATATTTATTTCTTTCTGATATTGACAGGAAGACAGTAAATAATATTCCAGATAAGAGGGTCTGGGTTAGGTTTATAGAATAGAGAGTAATGGTAAAAAAATAAAGAATAGAGAAAACTGGCCTAAACAATAAAAAAATACAGAAATGAAAACTTCCCAATCCAGACCATCAGATAAGAGGGTTAAAGCATATTATTTTTTTATTCCTGACCTAAAAATCATTTCCTTTCCAGAATGTGGTTCCAACACATTTGGTCAAAACTGTGCTCAGATCTGTAGCTGTGTTGTAACCAAAACAGATTCCTGTAACAATGTTGATGGCAGTTGTACTTGTAAAGCTGGGTGGAATGGAACCACCTGTTCTGGGGATGTTGATGAGTGTAAAGTTACTTCCTATATATGTAACACTACATATAATTCTGAATGTAACAATTTAAATGGTACCCATGAATGCAATTGTGTGACTGGATACCAGAAAATAGCTGATGGAAGTTGCCAAGGTAGGCATGATATTTTCAAGTAGCTATTATTGATAACCCCTTACTTGAACTACTGAGAAAAACTAATGTATAAGTACAATAAATAATATCATAATTGGAAGCTTTACAAAATATGTCAGTTGAACTGTACTTAAATCTATGTTCGATAAAGTGGGTAATTGTAATAAAGGGTTATTTTAGTCCAAGATGTTTGCAATTTTTATTTCACATGTTTTGTGCTTTAGCTCAATATTCACTGTGTTTCATGCAAATTGGTTAAAAAGCAGCACGTAAGCTATTATTTAATTTTTCGATCATCGTGAACTGGCCAATCTATTTCCTGTCCTGTTCGTCTGTTCACATACCCCCACTTTACGACTTTCTTTATAATGTCTTTTTTCAGAATGTGACAGTGCAAACTATGGAGATAGCTGTTTTAAGGCCTGTACTTGTATTGTTTCCAATACACTGGACTGTAACAATGTTAATGGTAGTTGTACTTGTAAAAATGAATATAATGGAACCAACTGTGAACTGGACATAGACGAATGTGATGATGCAACAACTTGTGACAGCATTCCCCATTCAACCTGTCAAAATTCAGTTGGTTCTTACAATTGTGCCTGTTATGCTGGATATCAAAAAAATGTTTCTAATCTCTGTGATAGTAAGTTTGGATTATCAAATTGATGTTGACTGTTTTAAGTCGAGTTATTAACACTTATATCTGAAAAAAGTAAAGAAATGGAAAAAGGTTTTCATTTTTTCACCTCATCATCTCTTTGATTAAGGTATTCTGAAAATTTAAGATATAAATTATGGATAGTTATGCATTTTACTTCCAATTCTATTTAAAACAAAATTGTCATGTATAATACTTTTTTTTAATACTTCTGCAGAGCAAGTGACATCTAATTACATTTCTTGTGAGTTTGTCTGTACATTTGAGTATTTTTTATATTTATTTGGGTCACAATTTTCTTGTACATCAGTTTTATTTATTATTTCATTAAGATTAATAGTGACTAGTAGAAGATATTGAATAAAATTGTCAAAGGGGTTAAATTTTTTAACCAAAAATATTAAATTGGTTATGCAAGCATTGTCTCCAGTTAACCCCTTTAATATTTTTATGTTGTTTTATTGCATGGCATTGATGCAACTAGGGCAATTCTGCAGAATGTTTTTTTTCAATTTTCTTAATCTGTTTAAACCATCAAGCCTTTACTGTAATGGGTATCTCATTTGTGAATCTAATAATTTGTGTATGAATGCTATCAACATCTGTATGGGATATCATGCTATGTTGTACAAAACATGTGATTGTAGGAAGTTTCATCTTAATCATCTATTTGGAATATTATGAAATAGACTCTAGCCTCTTTGTGCTTCATCAATTCTAAATTGTGCCTGAAATTTTATATTTTAATCCATTATGTTTAAATACTTTTTTCAATCGGTTGAAGAAAACCTTTTTTTTTGACATTTTACCTTGCTCACCATGGTCATTACTAAACGATATTATCTTTTCAAGATATTTATGGATAAAATGATTTTAACTTGAGTAATTTAATTGACATTTCCTAAGATTTAAAATAAGTACTTGCCACAAAGTACCAGCTCAATTGGGATGATTTCATTTTATATAAAGAACAATAATTATTCATGATAAGTTTGAAATTTAGGATAAACATTAAAAGTCAATGTATATAAAAAAAAAAGATGTGGTATGATTGCTAATGAGACAACTTGTGACCAGAGACCAATGACATAGAAGTTAACACCTATAGGTAACCTTACACCCTTCAACAAAGAGTAAAGCTCATACCGCATAGCAAGCTATAAAAGGCAATTACATGGCTAATGTAGAATAATTCATACCAAAAATGACTAGCAAAAAGACTTAGATGGAGAGTTCTCCCATTGGCAATCACACCACATCTTTTTTTATATTAAGACACAAAATACCGATCTGAGAATACTCACAGTTACTGAATGCTAGTTCAAAGCCAATAACTAATAATACAAAAATCATTTATCGAAGACTAAAATATCAATAAGGACATATCCAATGGATTAAGTGTAAAGACACTATTAGCAGTCAGAGAAAAATATGATCTCCTACAATGCCAAAATATAAGTATGGACATAATGTAGAACCTAAAATGATAATTGTTTTAAAGCAATAATATTAAGCTGAGGTTTTAATTTATTGATAACAAGATCAATGATACTGTTAAACAAGACTACTTGTTGAAGCGAGTTGTGATACAGAGCAAAACACGTAAATAATAATAAGAATAATTATTTTCAGGCAATGAAGAAAAAATACAGAATGTGTCGGTTTTGTTTTTTATACTCATTCTCTCACACATTATGAATTCATGGCATCATTATATTTTTTCTTGTAGACATTGATGAATGTGGAAATAGTAATTTGAACAACTGTACGGAGAATGCTTCCTGTTTTGACACAGATGGAAGTTTTGATTGTGTTTGTGACTCAGGGTATACTGGTCAAGGCGATGTGAATTGCACAGGTTAGTTTAATTTATGATATTTGTTCATATGCTACCATTTTAATTTTCTGGTCAAGCTTGTCAATCTTAAGTTATGCCTAGTTTCCTTAAATCTTTTCCAAAATTTGTTTTGGCTTTCACTTCCTCAAATCGTGTAATTAGTTTATTGTGTTGAATGCAGCAAAGGACACAGGTAGTTTTGCTTTGCAAAAAAATACATTAATTTCATATATATTTCACATCATATTTCTTAATTTGCTTTTGTAAATTTCAGTTTCAAAGGAAGTAGTAGATAGTAAAAAACTATGTATAGTCATATTACAAATTAATCTGTGTTGTTCATTCTTTGTGTTATTATATCATTTATAATGAATATGATTTTTTACTAACAATAAAGTTACTACTATTGTTGTAATTGAGGTATTTTAAACATGTATATAGGAAACTATTTGAATAAAATAGTTGCAACCATACAAATTGTTACAGTCTCAAATATTCAGATTAAGACACAAATCTGTATTATACTCAGTCAAGTTTTGACATGTAGTTAGTGTGATAATACATTTTTTACCAGTAATTTTATTGATAATTTACAACATATTTAACTATCATAACTGAAGCTGTTACAACAGTTGAGCCAACGTCTGAACTACACAAACAACAGCACCTATTGAGCCATCAACAACAGAAAAAGGTATCTTTTTCATTTCCTACCATTTGAATTTTTTGTTGAAGTATGTCAAGTTAAAAAATATGCGATTGATACTTCTTTCATAACATTTGGAGAGGAAATTGAAATCTAAAACAGCGAAAATATGAAAATTTTTGTTGTTGCTTAAATTGAGACATTTTGATTAATTGAAGAAATAAAAAAATATATGTACTTCAGGAAATAAAGGTTTGTCAAATAAATAAACCCTTGTTTTTAAATTCCAATAGGGAACATGTATTATATTATTGTAGTAAAATTAACAATGGTTAATTTACTAAAAAAAAAATAAACATTTATTTTAGGATATTTTTATAACAAAAAAACAAAACAAAAGCAACAGCCATCATAATTTTGCTGAAAATATTTGTATCAAAATTTGATTTGATTTTCATTTCCTCAACTATTTTTATAAGAAATTTACATTTGCATGTGAATGAAATAATTGTAACCATACAAATTGTAACAAAGTCGACAATATTGAGATTCAGACATATAACTGTAATATACTGAGACCAATCTTCATGTGTAGTAGGTGTAATTATTTATCTTTACTTAATAATAATTTACAAACTTTCATTACTATAATAGCTGAAGATGTCACAACATTTGAGACACGTCTGAAACTTCACAAACAACAGGAACTATTGAGTCAACAACAGCCGAAAAGGTACTGGAACTACTCACAAAAGATTTACAAAACAGACAACTGAAATCTCTTCAGAGCGTGCAACTATTACACAAAGTATGACAGCAAAAACTACTGAAGTGTCAACTGAATTTTTTTCTACCAACAATAATTCTGGAACCACAGCATAAAGTCTTACAGAAACCACTACAGTTGTTGTCACTGTCACACAAGACACTTCAACACAGAATTCATCCAACTTTATAACCAGCACAGAAAGGGATACAACAAAAAATGATACAGAAGCGATAACAGAAAGTTTCATTGTCAAAGAGGGTACAGGCACAACAAGAAGTGACAAGGTATCCGTAGAAGGCACTGTAACTCAACCCTCTGGAACCACCATAGAAAGCTATCTAGCCACTGGTCAAAGTGAAACTACAACAGGGTGTCACAATCATACAACCCACTGAAATCACAACAAAAAACTACATACCTACACAGAGTATAGGTATCACATCAGACAGTGTCAATGCAACTCAGAGATGTGGAACTAGTAAAGAAAGTGTCTTAGTCATTAACAATACTGAAGCCACCACAGACAGTGTCACATTCATTCATAATACTGAAGCCAGCATAGACAGTGTCACAGTCATTAATAATACTGAAGCCACCACAGACAGTGTCACATTCATTACTAATACTGAAGCCACCACAGACAGTGTCACAGTCATTAATAATACTGAAGCCACCACAGACGGTGTCACAGTCATTAATAATACTGAAGCCACCACAGACAGTGTCACATTCATTAATATTACTGAAGCCACAACAGACATTGTCACAGCCATTATTAATACTGAAGCCACCACAGACAGTGTCACAGTCATTGATAATACTGAAGCAACCACAGACAGTGTCACAGTCATTAATAATACTAAAGCCACCACAAAAAGTGTCACAGGAACACAAAACACCATAACACAATGACTGGAACTAGTACAGAAAGTGGTATGGCGATCAATAATACTGAAACAGTAACAGACGGTGCCACAAGTACCATAAACACTGTTGTACAAGGTACTGAAACCACCACAGAAAGTCCTACTGCCACTCAAAGCACAGATCCACAAGGTTTTGAAATCAGTACGGAAAGTAGTATGGTCACACAAGACACTAAAACCACAACAGCTATGCCGTCTGGTACACAGACAACTTAGATTCTGAAGTGACAACACAAGAAATAGCCACATTTGATATCTCCAGTAGTGAAGGTACTTGAGCACTCTCTGCTCTCCTCTTGTAAAAATTATTCGTGACCTGTTGAATTAAAATTTCTACTGTTAGTTTCTCTCTAATTTCTACCTTAGAGGCCGTTTAAATTCAGATTTTAATGGTAGTTCTCCTTGATATTTCCCAGTTCATATATTTGGATATGTCCCGAGAGCTCAATCACATATAAAAAATAATATCTAAGTTTCATTAACAGCTTTAAAATGAAACCTTTCCAAAATCATTCAACTCTTATTTTAAGGAAGAAAGGGTTCCTCAACTGTCACTACCAGCTGTTTCTAATTTCGTTCTAATTTTAAAGTTTGATATAGAGTACATTTTATGGGAGATTCTGTTATGAAATTTGGTTACTTTTTCATATTTTGCACTTAATTTGTACTGAATAAAAGAAAACATGCTTTGAACTTTTTTTATGTCACAATTTATGATATTCATGTTGATTAAAATAAGTCTCATATCACTTAATGTTGATTTTGCATTTTATGTTTTTAATCTCTTTCAACATTTTTTCAAATTATATAACATGTATTAGATATATTTATAAAGTACCTTATGTTGAGAAAGATTTTGTCATAACTTTTGTATACATGTCAATTGTAGCAACATCATCAACAGTCCATTTTACAGGTAAAACAACTTCCCAAATCAACCTACACATTATCTAAGTTTGCACAACATCTTATCTTAATAATTATTGTGTAAACAATTTTTCCCTGTGACTGACTCAATATTTACTACTTGTTTTTCTTTATATTTCTTATTTTGCATCAAAAATCATCAATAGATACAGGTGTAGTTGATTTGAATCATAATTAAACAACATACACAAAAAAACTAGACAAGTAGGATAATGGTAAATTAAGGAACAAGATATCTTTGCTTCTTATTATGTTTTCATGGATAATTATCTTCTAAAGATAAGCATGTTGAAGAGGTCCTACAGAAATAATACTTTTTGAGAGAGAAAAAAGTCAAGCAATGACCTTTGACCAGAATATGGACTTTTCTTTCAATAGATATAGGAAGATGTGGTATGAGTGCCAATGAGACAACTCTCCATCCAAGTTACAATTTATAAAAGTAAACCATTATAGGTCAAGGTACGGCCTTCAACACAGAGCATTGGCTCACACCGAACAGCAAGCTATAAAGAGCCCCTGAAATTACTAGTGTAAAACCATTCAAACGGAAAAACCAACGGTCTAATCTATATAAAAACGAGAAACGAGAAACACGTATGAACTACATAAACAGACGACAACTACTGTAATCAGATTCCTGACTTCCTGACAGGTGCAAACATTGTATTTTATTATTTCTTTTCTCTTCTTGGAAAGGAGGTTATCTAAAGATGATGTCTGCTGAACTTTTATTCCAGCTTAAAACACCATTTCATCCTTTTCCTTTCATCTTTCTTCGTTGTCTTGGAATGGTTTAATCTGTTGTGTGTATATTTACAGTACAGTATTACCCTACAACTGCCAAACTTGTAATTGTGTGTTTTCCCTCCTTCTGAAATTGAAATTTGTGTTTAGATTGCGTGTTCTTTTTTTTGTGTTTATAGAATATTGTTTGGTATTGTCAGTTAGTAGTAATATGATTTTCAGTATCTGAGTTATCTACTCTTTTAAAAAGAGAAAGACGAAATTAGTGTTTTAATTCAGCTTGCTTTTTAATTTGTAAAATGTTATACTATAAGATTCAGCAGAATAGTTGACCTCGTTTAGATGAAGAGTCCTGCAAATAAATCAAGTAGTACATGACATGAAGAAAGTCTACCAATAGATGTTTAAATGATCACATATGGTCATTAAAAAACATTATATTTCAGATAAACAAGAAAGAAAACATCCGCACAATTAGTTTTCCAATATTTCTCTTGGAGTTTTGTAAGAGCAAAAATTGATAAACACATTTAGATTGTAATTTATATATTGCAAACGTTATGTTGGTTAACGTTTCCTCATATATTAATTTTTATTATTCTTGTTGATACTGTTAAGACAGCATATGGGTAAATTCTTTTTGTACACTTTGTATCATTTTGATAAGTTTGAAACAACCAAAAATGCCACAACTACTGAAGGTATCTTAGAATTGAAATTCAAATTTTCAAAAAAGGCTACAGTTTGTTTTTTTTTTTTTTTTTAAAAACAAATATGAAAATTGCAATGGAATGACAATAAGATCTTTAAAGAGATAAATTTTATGAAAAAGTCCTTACGAATATTTTTTAATTCTTATTTGTCTGATGCATATTAATCTTTTAAATTTATGTACTATAACTGCCTAAAATTGGCTGTTAAAAAACATCAAATGAGTACAGATGTGGATTATGCTTTTGAATACAACTGTTATAATTGATGTCCTGTCACATAATATTGTACTTGAAAATTGTAATTTATTTAGAAAATAAATTTACAGACCACATCTTCTTATATCTATATAAAAGAAATCCATCTGGTAAAATGATGCTGATAATGGGAAGAGTTTGAACATGCACAATCATTTAAGTTACAATGTAGACTTTCATCATTATGTACCATAATTATTTATGAGACAATTTACATATTTAGCATTTTTATTGATTTGTATGTACTGACATTTCATAATCATTTTTGATATTTGTAATTATATATTGTTTGTAATTAGCTATAACAAATGGTCTTAAATATTCTTGATATGATTTTTGTATCACTTATAGCCAAGACTACAGCCAAAACTACAGGTAAAATCCCTAGCAGGCACTCCCCACATCCTCTCAATAACATGGTATTCGGATCTTTGTATAACTGTGTTTGCACTTAATAATATGGATTTAAATTGGTACACACTTTTGTTCTGAAATTCTAGAAACAATATCTTTGTTTAATACTAACATGTGCTTTAAAAAGTTCTTCTTGAACTGTAAAAAGAAATATGTTGTTCTAATAATATCAATGTTATGGTTCATTCATACTGTGATAAAATTGAACAGCTTGTTCAATTTTATCATTTATGAGTACAAAATTTTAAAATTCTCAAATGCTGGAATACTTTTGATATGTTGTTTTTGTACTTGTCTGCCTTTTTCAATCTTTAGTTATTAGAAAAAATCTTTTATAGCTTTTCTTTTTCAGACATTCTTGTGATTTTTTGCATAGTTGATTCAACAAGATATGAATGACTCATTGAGAACAATAAATACATTTTTTGTAGCAGTTATCTGAAAGAAATAATTTAATTTTGATTTTTTTAAACAATATATTTAGACTAAGGAATATGATGATTTAACGTCAATAATGAATAGTAGTGAAGACAAAATATGAAGAGTGTTTATACAGTATGAATAATTCGCTTTGCATATATCATTTTCTTGAAAGTTGATAAAAAAAAATATTCAGTAGATTTGTAAAAACAAATTTGTGTTATATTATAATTTCTCATTGATCAATTGAATGACTCAAACTTATTAAAAATACTGTCATTCTACCTGACTATTCTTAATTCCAATATCCAACATTTTATATAGCTCTTATAAATGTCAACCAGATTTACAGCACCCAAAGACTTGGTTGAAACAAAAATATTTAATGTTGTTAATAGCTATCATACAGGAATTAAAATATTTTATGACATGCTATACTCAGGGAAGAGGATTTTGTAAATCACTTCCATTTTAATGTTGTTTATATATAAATATAGCTACAGTTATATATATTACATTATTGCATACTGCTCTAATATATTGTGTGCACAATAACCACTTATGTAATTCACAACCAATCATTTTACTACCATTATAATGTATACTGATCTTTATTTCACAATGGGTGCACAATACACACATTTGTAATTCACCATCACTCATTTACTATAAGAATCAGTTTAAAAGTAAAGAACAGTGAGAATTAATAATGAAAATTGTAACAAATGGACTCATTTTCAATTTTTTATCATTTACTCTTGTACACTTCTTTTTAAGATTTCACCAACTATTTATATCATTCCCTGGTAACTAACTTAAAAACAAACAAGATTGAATTTGAACTAAGCTCCTCTCCTGTATTGATAAGGATTATTGTAAATCTGTTTAATGTTAAGCTATATAATACATGGTATAGCTAAATGATATAATATCAGTTTTGAGCTTTACTATAAAGCTGTTTAGCTGTTAAATTCTACATGTAGGTCAATGCACAGGCTTGTTAATCTGATAGTGCTTGAGATGCATATAAAGGTAACAAAAGTATAGCTGCTATGTTTTGCAGAATATGAGACAAAGATGTGCTATATAAATTTGTACGCCGTTGTTAGCTCTATATTTCAGAAGGTGGAAGAATTTGATATTTATATATAATTGTCCTTGACCTCATTTTTATTGTTCAGGGACTGCTTAAAAAACTAGTTTTTTATCAAGTTATGAGTAAAAGGATAAATGAATTTGGTATTTGAAATCATTGCAAGCTATACATGTTTGTCAGACAGGGTTTACCTGATCTCATTTTCAGAAATCGTTGGTCAACATTGAATATTTGGGATTAGGTCCATTTTTCAGACACTAGAAGCAATAGGTCAACTATATTTGATTTATGGAATGATTGCAAGGTGTTCATGTTTATCCTGTAATATTTATTTGACCTCAGCCTCATTGGTCAACCATTAGTTTTGGTGATAATTCTGTATTTCGGATACTATTTGTAATAGCTTAACTGTATTGTGTGCATAACATGACAGTAAGGTGTTCATGTCATTTTTACATGGTTTATTCATTGTTAATCTTAAGTTTATGTTTTTCTGTTTTAAAACCTGGATCTTAAAAACTAAAAATTCAATCATATACAATTACGTAGACAAGACATTTCAGTGTGCGCACTCGTGTTTAAGTTGTAGCTTAAAAATCTCTATATTGCCAAAATGAGATTTTTATTTCTGAAGATGTTTAAAGAAGTAACTAGTTTTTTTTTATTCTATTTCAGTTAGTGTACCAACAACAACATATACGCCTGTGTCTGGTAAGTTTCTTTTTTTGGATTATTTAAAGATTTTTTGCACTGACAGCAGCAAATATAGGCTAGACAAGGGATTCTTTGGAATCCTTTGCACATTTTTCTTTGTTCAAATGCATTATGTAATGAAGTTTTTCTTATTATGATTAGTTCAAAAGTTATGAAGTTATATACATTTGTCAGGAAAGACATGTTTCAGTTTTAAGGTCAGGATGCAATATTAATTGTTTATTTAGCTTTGCCACAATTGGATACATGGGGAAATTGTAATGTCATTAGTCTATAATCTTTTGATATTGAAAAAATAAGGTTGAGAATACTTAAGTGTCAATAATAATCATAAGCAAAATAAAGAAAGTCAATTCCATGGCCAACAGAGAAACAACAGCCCAAAAAATACTACACAGAGCTAATGTCAAAGGTTATTTTTTTCAAACCTCTATTGACTTGGAAAAATTCTAATTTTATAGTCCTGTCATATAACTTGAAATGATTCAGAGATCACATAGAACCTAATCCTCTAAAGCATATAAGATATAGCCCAAATATTTTAAAAATATCATATTAGATTTAGTTTTATACATATAAATAAGGAAGTTCTTTCATAATGTAACATAGTGTAGTGGCACTCTAGATCTAACACATCAAATAATTTTCAGTCTTGTTATACATTGTGACTTGGATGGAGAGTTGTCTCACTGGCACTCATACCGCATCTTCTTATTTATATTGTGATGAATTTTCTAAAATTGTTATAAGAAGATGGAATGCATAAGTTGTGTTAGATGTATGTAATAACTGGTTTATTAAGTCTAATCTAAAAAATGCTTAATTGATCTGAGGAATAACATCAAATGTGTGACGTTATATAACATTTTTCCCCTTTGTAAAAATACGATTTAAGCCTTCTTATGGTTTTCCAATTCTTTTGCTCTTACAGTCTGTTTAAAGTGTTCCTTTAGTATCCTGCAATGTCAGCATAAAGAATCTGAACTAACCAGAAGCAAAGGAATATTGTGTATTTTTTTTTTCTTTCATTATCATATTTAGAAAATATTGTACTTATTTGAAAGTTGAAAAGTTTCCTATTACATGTATCTCAAATAACTTATAATATTTTATTATGATATTTTAATATTTACAATTCTTTTTTTACAGGTGAATTTACCATAGATGTAGTCCTGACAATAGCTGTAGAGCCAAATGGAAATTTATCTAATGAAAATACTGGCTTTTATCAGGAATTATTTAATGATACTCTGTTAGCCGTAAGTTCATAATTAAAGCCCATGAATGTCTTTTTTGGTCCGACAGAACCTAATTAAGTAATAATAAGAAAGATTGCTTATTATAATTTACTATAGCGATTATCCTGCTTTAAAAACTGGCTAAGAAAAGACATTTTTGTTAAGTTAATGAACAATTGGGATCTTTTACATTTTTGTAATATAAAAAAAAGGACAATTCAAAACAGAATAGGGAAAAATCATAACTCAAAGAAGACTACACCATGACCAAGAGTAAAAAAGTTGAAGGAACAAATAAAGTCGACAAACCAGCTCTGTGTCCAAAAATTTAACAACAAAAAATTCTACCAGTAAAAACCAGAGTTCTTTGCAACATTAACCTCATTAATCTAATTACACTAAGATCTTCTGTAACAATCAGTTTTCATTTTTATGTTTCAATGATGTATGCAGGGTCTACATTAAAATATACATGTTGCACATAAGTACTTCAAATAATTGAAAATAATTTGAAATTATCTTTACATCATTCAGTATCAAAATCATCAAAAATATTTTTATGTGAAGAGTAGTATTAGCCACATAAACATAAATTGTGGGAGAAAAAATTTTGATGGCCTCCAATTTACTGTCAACGACACACGATACCAAAAACGGTAGGTAGAGTAAGTATAAGTTGTAAGGAGAAGTAGAACAAAGATTAATAACAACAATTAATATGAATTTAAATTGCAATATCTTAATGTGATGAAGCATAAACCTTTTCAGTTTTTGAAAACATTTAAGAGATCATTTTTTTCTATTTTTCAGCTCACATCTTACTACTCTAATTCAGCTGCAACAAAAGACAATTTCATTAAAGTAGTTTTGTATAGAATAAGGTAAGAGAGGCTACACATATACTTTCGATTTCCTTTTCGATTAATTTGCAAATAGTCTATTGAGAATATTGGTACCAATACTAATGTCTTTATCAATCACAATATATGAAAACTAGATGACAATAGGAATGCTGAAGTTATCATGTTTGTGATAAATCCCTGGGTCTTCATTTATCATGTAGCATTATTTAAGAAATAAGAAGGATTCTATATGAAGAGGACATACTTCCTGTCTTTGTATATTTTGATTTTTTTCTTTTTTCTTGTTGTTTTGTTAAAGTAGGTTCATATGAGTACATTAGAACAAGGGGAATATATATAAGTACCTCAACAATTCGTTGTTTTAATTAATAATTTTTGCATTTGATTTGTTTTTGGGATCAGTGTGGTTCTCAAAATGGTAGGGTTTTCTCATCAACCAAGCAAGTCCCCAGCAGATGCAGTTGTTTTTAAAATAAACATGCAGGAGAACATAACCACACCACTACAGCAGAGACTTGGAATCAAATACTTTCTGAATTCCATCTTTGAAACAGGGTTCCTACCCTAATTTGGAGCATAAAATAGCCTGGCATTTTATTTCAGTTTGTTCATGTCTTGAATTGTTAGGGAATTTCATGAAAATGGTGAAAACCCTGGAACAACCCTTTGAATTTCTATTATATGGTCAAATTCAAGTTATTTCATTTTATAATACCGCATCCAATTAAAACGTACTTGTTTACACTTAGAACTCTTTGTAAGAGGAATATGTTTGCTTATGATGAGAGGACTAAGAATATGACCATAGTTTTTAAAAAGAATTTATAAGGAAGGAAATTTGTTTACACCTGGTACCAAACATTAATGTCTTGCAGTTAAAAGTAATGTATGGTTTCATGATTTATATTTTCTGATACCACCCTTGAAAGTATATAAATTCCATGGTCAAATCCTGGATACACTCTGGAATGTTTTGTAACTAAAAGAGTGTGAACCTTGTAAGTAAACAAGATTGATAACGAATTCTGTTCAGGTCTTCATGGCCTCAATGAATATATTCCATGTTTGACTGAATATAAAAAGTTTTTAAAATATTTCAGAAGTTTCTTGTTGTAAACTATTTTTTTGAAAGAAATGTTAATAGGATAGACATTCATAATTAATTTAGATTAATGTCGTAGTTGTCCTCTCTTTTAGTAGATAACACAATTGTTATCAGTGTTATTATAACATTTTATTTGTAGGTCCTAGCTTTTAAAGTTCATAGTACATGAAATAAACTTTTCATAGTATATGAAATAAACTTTTTATCTCTCATAAATGCTACATCATGTTTGCTCTTCTGTATTAGTATTAAAGAGTTCAAGTGATATTTTTTTACCTTATGCATAGTGATATAATTATGTAGAACAATAAAGATATAGAAAGAGATATGGGTTGTTGAAATTTTAGCTTGAAGAGCCATTTATAATTTATTTTAGCAAGGGAAGTTTAGTTGCGACTCATGCAGTCATATTGAATTCAACAACTACGACTGCCCAAAATCAAGTTGCTACTGCCACTTATAATCTTGTAAATGGAAATGATAAACTGACATTTAATCAAGGTACTACTCCTCTCGAAGCTGGTGCCACTACTGCTTCCATTACAGCAGGAGGAAATACAGGTACTTCATTACTCATACTACTTTTAAACTTTTATTCCTGAAATAATTCTTTTGTATGTGATAATAATATCCTTCATTTTCCTAATATCAGTAGAATAATAGAAATTAGGGCAACAAAATAAGTTGACACAAAATGATTTGAAATTCTTTCTATATTTTACTAGTATAAGATACAACATTTTGTTTCTTAATACTTAGATCAATTAAAATGTAGATTACAGATTACAGAATTTCTAATTGATACCACATGTTTTAACACTTAAAGTTTTTATCAAAAGGTTTTTTAATAATGCTATTCATATGCATTTTACGGAAGCCGATAAGGGCCATTCAAAAAAAAAAATGTATGTCGTAATTACGACATAACATGTCGTAATAACGACATCACTATGTCGTAATTTCGACATAACATGTCGTTATTACGACATCGCTATGTCGTAATTTCGACATAACATGTCGTTATAACGACATCGCTATGTCGTAATTTCGACATAACAAGTCGTAATTACGACAACACTATGTCGTAATTACGACATAGCTATGTCGTAATAACGACATCGCTATATATATAAAAGAATATGTATTATGATTGCCAAGAGACTAAATGACACAGAAATTAACAACTATAGGTCATCATAATGCCCTCAATAATGAGAAAAGCCCCCGCATAGTCAGCTATAAAAGAGGGACGAAAGATACCAGAGGGAGAGTCCCCGAAATGACAGCTGTTTAACAATTTAATTCAAACGAGTGAAAATAACGGTTTTAATCATGTGCAAATAAAGACCGAAACACGAATATGTAACACAGCAACAAATGACAACCACTAAATTACAGACTCCTGACCGCTATGTGATAATAACGACAACCTTATAGTTTAACTTTTCACTTTTTGAAGCGATAGGAATTTCAAAATGGTCGCCAGTAAAGGCAAAGTTTGTATCGTAAACAAATTCATCTTTTTTTTTTGAGAATATTGAACACTTTATGCAATCAAGCTTAATTAAAGTTATTCACTTGCACCTCAGACTTGCACATACTAGAACTATATTTATAATCAAGTCAAATGAGACCCAGTTGAATAGGGGAGCAATTCAAGCTCCCTGGAGCCTCTAATTATGTTTGGCATTGCAGGTTCTGAATAAGATGAATTTTAAGCTTTTCCCAATAAAGACTATGTTAAACTTTGGTCTCATAGTGCTCAGACCCACGGATCTCAGTACCTTCATTTGTACACACTTGAATCTTAATGTACTACTGAGGCTTGATGCAAATTATAACTGCATTGCTATTGTTGGTTCTTAATGAGATTCTTCAAGCGTCCTCCCCATTGAAGCCCTATTGAAACTTTGTACCCCAAGTTCTTTTAACCACTGTTCCCCAGGACAACTATTCCTACAAACTTAGAGGGAGGGTTGGGATCCCGCTAACATGTTTAACCCCGCCACATTCTTAAGGTATGTGTCTGTCCCAAGTCTTTAATTTACATATTTGTTTTTCGTTTATTTTTGTACATAAAATAGGCCGCTAGTTTTTCTCGTTTGAATTGTATTACATTTGTCATTTCGGGGCCTTTTATAGCTGACTATGCGGTATGGGCTGTGATCATTGTTGAAGGCCGTACGGTTACCTATAATTGTTAATTTCTGTGTCATTTTGTTTCTTGTGGAGAGTTGCGTTTTTGAACAAACCAGCGTATCCCAAAGCCTTGATAACCTCTGTAGGCCCCAAATAAGACGAAAAACATCAAAATTGGAGAGAAAACTGAAAATAAATGGTTTCTAACCTCAGGGATATTAACCCTCCCCTTAAGTTTGTAGGAATAGTTGCCCTGGGGAAAAGTGGTTAAAAGAACTTGGGGTACAAAGTTTTAATAGGGCTTCAATGGGGAGGACGCTTGAAGAATCTCATTAAGAACCAACAATAGCAATGCAGTAACAATTTGCATCAAGCCTCAGGAGTTACTGTACATTAAGATTCAAGTGTGTACAAATGAAGGTACAGAGATCCGTGGATCTGAGCACTATGAGTCCAAAGTTTAACATAGTCTTTATTGGGAAAAGCTTAAAATTCATCTTATTCAGAACCTGCAATGGAAATGCAGGACTTCATAATTTACACAAAGCTGTACATGCCAAACATAATAAGAGGCTCCAAGGAGCTTGAATTGCTCCCCTATTCAACTGGGTCTCATTTGACTTGATTATAAATAAAGTTCTAGTATGTGCAAGTCTGAGGTGCAAGTGAATAACTTTAATTAAGCTTGATTGCATATAGTGTTCATTATTCTAAAAAAAAAAGAAAAGATAAATTTGTTTCCGCTACAAACTTTGCCTTTACTGACAACCATTTTGAAATGCCTATCGCATCAAAAAGTGAAAAGTTTAACTATAAGGTTGCCGTAATTATCACATAGCGGTCAGGAGTCTGTAATTCAGTGGTTGTCATTTGTTGCTGTGTTACATATTCGTTTTCCGGTCTTTGTTTGTACATTATTAAAACCGTTATTTTCACTCGTTTGAATTAAATTGTTAAACAGCTGTCATGTCGGGGACTCTCCCTCTGGTATCTTTCGTCCCTCTTTTATAGCTGACTATGCGGGGGCTTTTCTCATTATTGAGGGCATTTTGATGACCTATAGTTGTTAATTTCTGTGTCATTAAGTCTCTTGGCAATCATAATACATGTTCTTATATATGTATAGCGATGTCGTTATTACGACATAGCTATGTCGTTATTACGACATAGTGATGTCGTTATAACGACATGTTATGTCGAAATTACGACATACCGATGTCGTTATAACGACATGGTATGTCGAAATTACGACATAGCTATGTCGTTATAACGACATGTTATGTCGTTATAATGACATGTTATGTCGAAATTACGACATGCTATGTCGTAATTACGACATAATTTTTTTTTTTGAATGGCCCTTATCGGCTTCCGTAGCATTTTATATGGATGAATATGATATTTTCTAAATTCATAGTTTTTTTGTTAAAATGAAATTGAGATCTGTGTGATAACAAAATTTATGTCAACATACATTTAAACTGAAAGTATGTTTGTTTTATTTGCTGTGATGAAAATATATCAATACTTTGAAATTGATCTTACAGCTGAAGTTACAAACTCTACAACTATTTGTGGCACATTCAACACATTGAACACATGTCCATCAAATCAGGCATGTTCTGTGGATAGTAATAGCGTACCATATTGTGCGTAAGTACACAAATAATTTCTAAATCCTATTTTTTTTAATAAAAAACTGGTGTTTGCTGTTTTTTTTAAAAACATTTGCTTTTATTTTCATCGTGTATGGCCATTTTGAAATACAGTGTGCACGTTATTTATTCTATAATTCTTTCAAGATCGAGAAAAAGTATGTTTTTGCTTGATTTTTGTAATGAAAATTAATTAAATTCGATGGAAAATTCCTCAAAAACAATATTAAAAGCGATCGTAATTTTAAGAATTTGTTAACACTTTACTTAGAAAAGAAAATAATCCACAGTTATATAACAAACAGACTTCATTTTCGGGCGCAGTGATACAGGAAATTCAGCGCTCTCTATCTCGATAAATCTTTCGACAGGGTCCCGGAAACCAGTCATTAATCTCGTCTTATAACCAGTTTAAAGGGTACCAACATGGTTGAATTTATTTTTTACGAATTAAAATTTCTTGTTATAATTATCAAAATACTTTTGTTGAATTAACCTGAGTGTCGTATTTGTAAGACTTACCGTTTTAGCGGATCTTCAAAGTCGCGTTTATTGCCACGTGGTACTTTGTGGTACTTTGTGGTACTTTGTGGTATTGAGATATAGCATGACCGGACTGGTTTACTATGTCCAGTATCTCGTATGGAAACAGTTTAAAGCAAACTACCTATATTTTGACATTATTAATGGATACGACCAAGAATATATAATTACGGACGAGTTTCGAACAATGTTTCAAATAGTTTAAACCTAGCACTATGAATGAATTGGATTTTACCCATTTATTTAAAAGAAAAAAGAGAAAAAAAAACAGATGTCAGGTGGAATAATTATAGTATCAAATTTCAGTGTTGGGTTCTACTTTCATTAATATGTCAACTCTTAAGAGTATTAAGGGAACGACCATTTAACTTTGAGAGTGGTGGGGGTGTTTAAATAAAAAATAATTTTCTGATTCCTCTGGAAAAAAAATTCTCAAATCAGATAATGAAAAAATAAATTCTGATTGAGAGTTATTGCAATTATAATTAATGATCAAGGAAAATCTTATGGTTTACTAGCCCAAAGAACTAAGTGGCTAAAAACGTTTTTGGTGCATACTGTTTGGTATAAGATTGATTCGTGACTTGTGATAACGGAACTAATCTTGAACTTGCATGTATATTTCTTAGTATACGGCAAATGCTTTTACCAGCGCTATCAAGCTTTGATTTTAATTTATGGTACTAAAATTAAAAAGTTTAAACTAATTATGCATTGGAAAAAAAATCTAAAGTTATTTTTCATTTTTGAATTTTTAACATCTGATTTTTAAATTTTGAATTAGGTTTCACTGGGAGATCAGACTAACAGAAGAACTATGACCAAATAAGAGAGTTGCATTGAAGCAATAAGACAGATAAGCTAGTCAAGAGGAAAGCATTCTACTCTTTTTAATGATAAATATTTCTGAAAGCTATGCTTTACCTTACACTTCTAAACTGTTTAATGTTAACAATTTATAAATTTTTTTTCCTGCTTCATCATGAATTCTAAAAATAAATGCATTCTGTAATTCATATGCTAGTTGTAAGCCTGGTATCTTTTAAATCAGTTTAAAACCAGTTTTGGGGTTTTACAAACATGTTCTTTTTAGAAGTAAATATGCATTTTAAACTAATTATTTAAGAATATTAAATTGTATTCTGTAATGGTTATTGTCTTCTTTTTTTAGGCCACTTAAGAGGACTGGTAAGTTTTTATAATGCAGAATCATACATAACATGCAAACAATTTAGAAATTAAAAACAGAATATAAAGTAGCTGCCAATAAAGTAATATTTAAATATACGAAGGAAGTTTTCTGAAATTAAGTAAGGAGTATAGAAACTGCTTAATATCTGAAAAATCTCTCCACATTATTTTGATACAGAAAATTAAAAATCACCAACACTGATAGATCAAGAGTAAACAAAAGAAAAATTGCCTCACACTCAGCAAGCTTATACATGTATAAAATAAGAGAGAGAAGATATCAAGGTGGCATTCAAAAATCATTAGTCATATGGATGCCAGATAAACATGTGAAGAAATAGAAAAAAAGTTATAATAGTATTCACCTTATAGTCTGTGTCTTGACAGTGAAATGCTCTTTGAAAAAAGTTTTCAAGAAATGAATTTGGAATTCAAATAATCTTTAATAACCATTTCAAGATGCAATTTTAATTTAATCATGAAAATCATGAAAATCTGATCTTTTAAATGTTTGGTTATATCTGTTTTGCCGCGACAACGTTTGATGTCATACATACCTGCCAACTTTTCAATATCTACATGGGCAATTTTAAGCGCAAGAGGACATACAATGGTCCTATTATATTGTAATAAGTGTTTATAATCTACTACTACTATATTGTTTGAATGAGTATGTATGTGCCTATTTCCCTTTTAATTCATTTGAATGCCTGTTTTGAGATGTTCATTGTATATAATAAAGAATTTCAAAATTCAGGTCAACACATCTCATGGGGGATATCCCAAATAAATCGGGATAGTTAGCAGGTCTGGTCATAGCTCACTTTATAGTATTTGTTGTTTGTTTGACGTTGATGATCATGAACAGCAAATAAAAATTGAAAGTGTCTGCTGATAATAAGTTTTTCATACATTTTCCTTTTTAGCTAGATATTATGCCTTATCATTTCATTATACAATTTAAATTTGTTTACCTAACATATCCTTTTTTCATAATTAATTGATGTTATTATTTAATTTCAGATAACTTCCCACTGATTGTAGGCCTTGGCATTGGAATTCCTTTGTTTTTCATCGTCCTAGCATTAATCATAGTCCTATGTGTTTATAACAGTAAACGTCATAAAAGTAACGAATTAGACAATGATTCTTTAAACAGGTGAGAATATAATAGAACTATAAAAGTTGTATTTGTAGTAAGTATATAATTTATATAGATTTGAATTTTATATGATCTGTGTTTTTGCAATGACTAAAATAGTATACTATTTTATAGTGTTTTGACAAATCGTCATATTGTGTGAAAAAAAAGTTACCATTGTAATCACATTCAGCCATGAATACATGGTAAAAAATAGTTAAATCAATCAAAGCTAACCACTTGTATTGATTATTAATCGTAACCATTTTATTTATATTTGTAATATAAATTTTTATATTCTGTTGAATTGAGTCGGAAATTCTGCTAGGTTTAATCGATAAGAAAGTAAGACTAGTGATGTATCACATATTTAAGAAAACAGCTTCATCAGGTTCTTGCAAAATGTGCTACATATACTCATTTAAATAAAAGGATTTTTCTAAATAAATCAAAATTACCAGTATTCTGATAAAAGTAGTGAATTAAACTAAGTTATGTCGAGATAAAAATACAATTTTAGTGTAAACATTTGACTGTTTGATTTCCACATTGTATAGTTTATAGAACCAATAAATGCCTGACTCCAATATAAGTCAATGTTGTCTTTTTTTAAACATATAACTAAAATTATGGCATTTATATTACATTTATTTTTCCACAGAACAATGCCTACTCATGAAGGACTTTTCACTGGTGCTATACCTGGTCGATTCAATAGCTGGAATCGACCTGCAGATAGTGCATTCTATGGTCACTGGGATGACGAGTCTGTAGATTCAGAAAGAGGAGCATATGATAATGAGATGTTTAGGGGAAAAGATCCCTATGGTAAATAAAGGCAACAGTAGTATACCGCTGTTCAATAGTCATAAATCGATTAAGCGAAAACAAAACCGGGTTACAAACTAAAACCGAAAGAAACACATCAACTAAACAACAGAAACACTGAACTGCAACAAAAACAAACGCCAACATTCATAGAAACAGACTATTTGATAACAAGTGCTATATTCCTGACTTGGTACAGAACATTTTAATAAACAATGGTTGGTTGAACCTGGTTGTATGGCTACCCAAGCTCCCGCTTATATGGCAATGTTAAAAATACCACTAAAATGACAACACAACTCGACAGGAATACAGTACAAACAAACGCAAGAACACTCAGCACAGAGAAATACATAAACAAACAATATAATAGTACATTACACATGTAAACCGCAGAATAACAACGGACACCTCCCATGAATTCACGACAGCACAGGTCACCACAAACGAATTATAAACTGCTCGTCACATGAATGGATCAATGCCACAAAAAATGACGTATTTTTGTGACTATTATAAGTCAATGCAAGAGTTAAACATTAGAAGTTATTTCAAATAAAGCAAATAATGCTATCAAAAGTAATTTAAATAATTGTTTACAAATGTAAAAAGAAAATAGGATTTCAAAAAGTTTAAGATTGTATCAATTGTGAAAAATGAATTATATTAAAAGTTAATGAGGCTTTTTATAAGTATACCGTATAGCGGGTTATTTTCGCGGGTGTAAAATTTCGCCATTCAAGGGCAACAAAGCATACGAAAAATTTTGGCGGTTTTTATTTTGGTGGATTCTTAAATCCCAATTAATTATTTTGGCGGATACTGAAATTGTTGTAGTTAAAAGATTGTAAAACAAGTGTCTATTGTTATGGTTTATTGATTTTTTTACCTGAATGCCATCTTAATTATTAATTAAAACCAGGTTCAACCCACCATTTTTTTCTTAAAATGACCTATACCATTTCAGAAAAATGGCCATTGTTATATTATAGTTCGTTTCTGTGTGTGTTACATTTTAATGTTGTGTTTCTGTTGTGTCGCTGTTCTCCTCTTATATTTGGTGTGTTTCCCTCAGTTTAGTTTGTAACCCGGATTTGTTTTTTTCTCAATCGATTTATGCATTTCGAACAGCGGTATACTACTGTTGCCTTTATTGATTATATTCTGATACAGTTAATAAATAAAATACCAATGACTCAGATATTTGTTACAGGTATTCAAACGTCTTGTAAATTTTACAGTTGATTAGTTACGAAAATGACTGGAACTTTGATTTACTTACTAATTAGGTTACAAAATTATCATGAGTGTTTACAACTCTTATATAGTTTGACACTAATTAATAAGGGTAATTACCTGACAAGACTACCTTACTCTCTTATTCTAATTGACACTTATTAATAAGGGTATACGCACCTGACAGTCATTTTATAAAATACATGTATGTACAATGCCATTTGGCATTTATGTTGTTAAAAGTAACATATACCGTTATTGACTTGCCGACCGAAAAAATAGATCGTTTACAAAATGCTTTAGATATTTGAAAATACCCAACATATGCATAATCTTTCGCGGAATTTATTTTCGCGGTTTTCTTTTATCCGCCAAAATAAGCGAAAATAAACACCCCGCGAAAATAAGCAGATATATGGTAATTGCAATTTATAACATGAATTTTGGATGTCATGTTATAAGAAATATCAGCAAAACACCAGTAACCCTGTATCATACATAAAAAGATTACAGTAGCCAACAATTTATATTTATCTCTTGTTCACTTCTATGTAAAAAATATAAATGATTTCTAATCACATGCTTATTTTTGTAATAGTCCTCTTAATGAAAGTTATTCCAAAAATGAAGTATGTCCACAGATATCTTATATGTTTTCCTGTGTACATACACACTTGAAACAAAAGTTTAAAACCAAAGTACAGGAGGGCACTAAACCAACAAGGCTTAACATAAAAGCAAAAATAGTCCAACATCAAGCCTGTGTGAAGGAGTCGCAACCTTAGTTTTAGATCAATTGCAAAAGTTCATGAACTAACAATACTGACAAAATTGATTAATTAAAGCACTTATTAGATTGTACCCATAGAGACTTACAGATTACAATTATTTAAGAACAATCGCTGAAAGTTCAAATAAGTTAATCTACCACTTCTGAGTAACATGTACAGATACCAATAATGAGGGACTTCTTGAATAAAGCATGATAATAACTATCAAGGTGAGGCACATAGGAAATTTATGTTCTGTAAATAAATGTAACAGGCAAGCAGGAAAAATTTGCAATGGTTAATTTACTTTTTCTTTTTATAGTGTATGATAACAATAAAGGAGGAAAACCTGCTTCATTTTCATGGGATTTTATTTTCCAAAGTTTACCTGGAAATGGTCAGGTAAGCATATCAGAAAATGTGATGGTTATTGAATTTAATTGTTAAAAAAATGTTTGTTATATTTTGAAAAGTTTAACAGCTGTACATTTCTTTAAGGATTAATGAAGTCCTTGTTTTGTTTTAAATACTTGGTAGTTTATTGAACACTTTAAATCGAAAAATTAGACAGTGCTATATTGTTGTATAGAATGTTGGAATGATAGGTTTGATTTCAATAGACAGAGGGTAAGCTACAAGTCCATCTGCAAATTATTTGACCGTCAGGACAAGCAATCACACAATTGCAAAAGAGTTTTTAAAATCCTAATCAACAGTCACTACATTTACAAAATAAACAAAATGGTAGACAAACAATACTCCTAAAATAAGGTTAAGATTAAATAAGATTGAGCAAAACCAAACCATGCAAGAAAGGGAGAAAAGATAAAATACTCCAGAAGGGTTAGCGGTTTCTGCTTCGTCAGGAACAATTGTCACTTGAAATTTAATTTTGAATTACCCTGGTATTCATTTTATTGTCAGGTGTTGTTCATGTCAATAATTTCAGTAATTTTTACATTTAATCTTGCATAATTACTTTATTGATAATACATGTGAACAGAAACCTAATAGTGCTTGATTGATAGAAAGCAAAATGCCTAAACAGTACTGAAATTACTGCAAGCATGATATCTGTAGAACTACTCATAGCCTTAACATTTTATCCTTTAGGATTTCAAATGTGCCATTATAATGTAGAAGCACAGTTGGTGTGAATTCTTGGGCTCAAAATTAAAAGTAAGACTTTCCATATTGCATTTGTCATGTATAAACTTTTTTTGTTACAGTATCGTATAGAGAGGCCAGAAGCAGAAACAACACCTAACCCAGTGTTTTCAGTAAGTTTGTTATTGATATAGACCTAAGTCTGTGGTACTCATAACATTTTCTCAAGACCATAATGAAAACAAAATTTGTTTAATTTTGTAAAATTAAGTACATGTAAACACATTTGTTTATTTCTGAATATGTGATAAGTTCCAAAATTATCACTAAAAACGGACATTATGTTAGATATAGACAACAATAGTTTAACAATGTTAAAATCTCATAAATTGATTAAGAAGATATAAGTCAAGGTAATAAACAAAAAAGGAGGGAATCGCTTCTCCTGTTATGCATACATCAACCGCCATGATATCCAAAATCAGTCTAGATGTGACAACAGGGAATATGATACAATTGGTCAAAACAGACCAAATGCCTATCTGGTATCAAAACATCTAAGTCTATGAAAACTTGTCGTTAATGACGTCAGACACAAACACATATCATTCAACCATGCAATTTATGATGGTGATTGTAAACTTTTGTAGTGTTGATTACAGTGGTCCTGCCACATAACTTTGTTGGAGCAGTTTTTGTGTAAGGAGCACACCCCTGTTAATTAAATCTGTATACTGTGATTATGCTTGAGTGTAATGTATTAAATGACATGTGTAAACGCCATACAATTGTGTATATAGTATGTTACTGCTAAAATATGGGAAGTTGACAGTTTGAAAGTTAAAATTACAATAGATACACTTCCAGAAATTAATGCAGGTGAAATTCCTTACATGAAAGAATAAAAACTGAATTACTTATGAAACTAATGAGAATATTTTTGTAATTTAGAAGGAAAATGTTTACTATCGATAATACATTTTGTGGTGAGATGCTTTAACATGCTTGATTGACAAAATAAATAATTTTTTACTGAAGACATGTTAGTATTTTGTTCTTGTGTATAAGATTTTGCCAATAAAAGTCAATTCTTGAAAAGATGCGAACAATTAAATGCTGCTTAAAAGTTTTATTTGCTTTATTTTGTATATTTTTATTTCAGTAGAAATGCGGAGATCCATCAAATAATGCATAGATGACTTGGGATAATTAAACAAATTTTAACAAATGTTCCTCTAAGAGGGCTTCCATATAACCCATGTGCCAATATTAGAGATATTCTTCATCTAATGAAATAGAGACAAGAAAACATTGACACTGAATATGTGCTTCTTGAATTATCATAATATGTCATCATAATATTGTATATCCGGATGTCAAAATTATGTTTCAAGTGATTTGTGAAATCAGCAAGAAGTAATAAATAAGTGTAAATTAATTTGTGGATATTCATACAGGGTTTTATAATGTAGAACTGTGAATATGATATATAGAACAAAATCAGTAGCTGATTATATTAGACGGATTCATTTAAATGGCATTTCATGTATGAAGGAATAAATGTGATTATGTGAAATAGGGAACCTGTTTTTTCACTGTCTTTATTTTTTCATCACAATTTGATCATCATCTTTAGTATGACATCACATATTGATCATCATTTATAATAGTGTTATGTTTCTGTTTTTCTCATTTTGTTAGACCGATCATTATTTAACATCGAATGTTTAGTGTGAACACTTTAAAAGACAACTCTTTCCTTAATGGTAACAAACAATAGTTCTATTGCACTTATGATGAAAGATTGTTTGTGTAAAGATTTGACATAGAGGTTTTCATACTTATTTATTGAAAAATTGCATTTGAAATTCTCTCAAATGGAATTTTTAGGAAAGGCAAGTTTTGGGATTATGAATTCAGATTTGACCTTATGAATTTTATGCAGAATATTGTATCCGTTTGTTGGCAATAAATTATGAATTTGACAGGTGCTTTCTAAATACCTTATTCATCAAGTTTCTTCCCTGATACTTTAAAATAAACACTTCTCGATATTTGTTGTTCAATAGTATTTCAAAATTTGTTGACAACGAAATCTGTAGGCATACTCATTCCAAATTAGCTTTAATCCACTATTTTCTACATAAGGGAATGCCTGTACCAAGTCAGGAATATGACAGTTGTTTTCCATTCGTTTGATGTATTTATGTTTTTGATGTTGCCAATTATTAATGGACTTTTCGTTTTGAATTTTCCTTGGATTTCGGTACCTTTTTCCATAATGCCCGTTCTTTTGTTTGAAGCTTTTTGCTAGTTTATAAATCATGCCTTATTATAATTCTACATTTGACCTTTTTTACAAGCAATCTTATAAGAATTTACTATTAAACTGAAGTGCAGTATGATATCTTCTTTTGTTTTTAATTTGTTCATCATTGGGTTTACTTTATTTACGTATATAAATGTGAGTGATATTAGTCTAGATGAATGGGTGCAATTTTGTAGAATAAGTGCAATCGTCTTATAATGTACCATTTTCTTTATACAATCAAATTGTATAAACATTATATGCATTTCATTTTGCTATTTGTAAAGATATATATAAGCATTTAGGTTTACACCTCAGGGAATTAGATTTGTTTAATTAGTTTGTACAGCTCTGGTAGTATCTAGCAAAAATACAATCCATATACCCAGTAACAATAATTTTGTCAAAATTGTAACCTTGTTTTGCTATAGTTTTTAAAAACAAATAAGTTTGAAAACAAATAAATATGTGAAAAATATTAAACAAAATAGTGTTCTTATGGGAACAGTGGTGAACTGTCACAAGTCTTTCACCTTTTATAATTCTGCATACGCTTTACTTTCAATCATTGAATCAACTTCAGTTCAAATTGTAACTGCAATATATTTTTTATCATATTTGGAATAGTTCTTTAAAACACATTTCCTACATCGAAAGCTTGCATATTTTATTCATCCTTTATAGTTATAAACACTGTAAACTGCATTTTATCATTTATATTATAAGGTCTATCATACCAGGAAAAGTAACAAAATCATAATACACTTTAAGTGATGACTAATAACTTACATAGTACTTACAGATAAAAACAACTTTTTCAAGATTGATTTCAATGATATGTTAATACCAGAAATATAGTCCCCTATTGTTATGACTCATATCAAATACGTATTAATTTGCATGTTCATCCTTATATAACAAAATGTATGATAAATATATTGTTTTTCGTTCAAATCTTTTTTATGTCTGTCTTTAAAATCATAGACATTGTTAAATATGTTTTTAAGTGTTATTTGATTTTATTGATTTTTTTTATTATTATTTAACACAAATTATATGATTATGGAAATACATTTGATTATAGGAATATGTGATATTCAGTGTTTTAGATGTGATTATCAGTTACTTAAAATTAATCTATAATGTTCAAATGAAACATGATTTCATATCAATATTTTTTTTAGATATGGTAAAATAAAAAAAGGCTAACAATTTGTAAGCAGTTTATCTAGCAATAATTGTTAATAGATTTGGAATTCTAGCATATGTATATATAGTAATAAGGTATCGTCCATAGTTACTTGTCTGAAATATTGTTATATTATGCATTTATATTTTAAGAAAAAAATCAAAATTTATTTATACATATATATTCATTTATGAAATTAAAAATATTTTTATAATGAGGTATTATATTGTCAAAATACTAACCTGCTTAGTCAGGTAATGGAACATTCTTGTATATGGCTTAATGATGAAAACTTTACATGTTTACTCTGTTTAAATGCTTCAAATTTAAAAACAAAAAAGGAGGGAGGAGGTTCATTGAAAGAATCCACCACTTCATTTATAAATCTGATGAACGTACACAAATTTTTAAGCTTAGATTTTTAGATGTATTCATAAGTTCCCTAAACTTAAGAATATTACAATGTTGCTGAATTTATAAAGGCAGTTCCTTAATGCCTTTAATTCTATCAGGCAATAGCCATTTCGTTTCTACGTGGGGGTAAAAACATAACAATCCCGAAAAGTGGAATTCTTTCTTCTTCTATATGTATATTGTGTGTCTTGTAATACTGGGCAGTAAAGAATCGAACGGTGTTATTGTTAATTTTCAATACTTCCGATAGAGTTGCATTTTGCATGATGAATAGATTGACATACCGGAATTACTTGAAAATCCGTGTGAAAGAGTACAGGTTTATTTCGAGTGTTGTATTTCAATCTTAAGTTGTTTTGAAGATCGTCTCAGTCGTTTATATAATAATGAAAAGTCGACTGAACTATGCCTAGTCGCCACATGTCAATACTTGATTTTTCTGTTTGAATTGTTTTACAATAGTCTTTTTGGGGCCCTTTATAGATTGCTGTTCGGTGTGAGCCAAGGCTCCGTGTTGAAGGCCGTACTTTGACCTATTATTGTGTACTTTTTACACATATCACTTGGATGGATAGTTGTCTCAATGGCACTCATACCACATCTTCTTATTTATTTTTACTCAGTTTTCTCGGGAAGCGATTATTTTTAGCTCACCTGGCCCGAAGAGCCAAGTGAGCTTTTCTCATCACTTTGCGTCCGTCGTCCGTCGTCGTCGTCGTCGTCGTCGTCGTCCGGCGTCGTCTGTTAACTTTTACAAAAATCTTCTCCTCTGAAACTACTAGGTCAAATTTAACCAAACTTAGTCACAATCATCATTGGGGTATCTAGTTTAAAAAATGTGTCCGGTGATCCGGTCAACTAACCAAGATGGCCGCCATGGCTAAAAATAGAACATAGGGGTAAAATGTAGATTTTGGCTTATATCTCTGAAACCAAGAGCAAATCTGTCGGGGTAAAATTGTTTACCAGGTCAAGATCTATCTGTCCTGAAATTTTCAGATGAATCTGACAACCCGTTGTTGGGTTGCTGCCCCTGAATTGGTAATTTTAAGGAAATTTTGCCGTTTTTGGTTATTATCTTGAATATTATTATAGATAGAGATAAATTGTAAACAGCAATAATGTTCAGCAGAGTAAGATCTACAATTAAGTCAACTTGACCAAAATGGTCAGTTGACCCCTTAAGGAGTTATTGCCATTTATAGTCAATTTTTAACCATTTTTCGTAAATTTTTGTAATCTTTTACAAAAATCTTCTCCTCTGAAACTACTTAGAAAAATTTAACCAAACTTTTACGAAATCATCATTAGGGTATATAGTTTTAAAAATGTGTCCGATGACCCCGCCCGCGAACCAAGATGGCCGACATGGCTAAAAATAGAACATAGGGGTAAAATGTAGATTTTGGCTAATATCTCTGAAACCAAAGCATTTAGAGTAAATCTGACAGAGAAAAACTGATTATCAGGTCAAGATCTATCTGCCCTGAAATTTTCAGACCAATCAGGCAACACGTTGTTGGGTTGCTGCCCCTGAATTGGTAATTTTAAGAAAATTTTGCAGCTTTTGGTTATTATCTTGAATATTATTATAGATAGATATAAACTGTAAACAGCAATAATGTACAGCAAAGTAAGATCTACAAATAAGTCAACATGACCAAAATTGTCAATTGACCCCTTAAGGAGTTATTGCCCTTTATAGTCAATTTTTTACAATTTTTTCATAAATTTTGTAAATTTTTGTAAATTTTTACAAAATATTTTCCACTGTAACTACTGGGCCAAGTTCATTAAAGATAGAGATAATTGTAAGCAGCAAGAATGTTCAGTAAAGTAAGATCTACAAACACATCACCATCACCAAACCACAATTTTGTCATGAATCCATCTTTGTCCTTTGTTTAATATGCACATATACCAAGGTGAGCGACACAGGCTCTTTAGAGCCTCTAGTTTCTTTTCTCATCAGACCAATTAGTAAATTGAATTGCAGAAATCCACCTTAACTATCAATATCCATCTGGAACTTATCGCAAACTAGAGCTGTTGAAAATTTTCTGACGTTCGAACATAGCTTTCATGTCAGACCTTTTGTCAAGTAAACAACTTAGGCACTCTCAGGTTTTTACTTCTTCCATTTATTGAGGTTAAAAATCCGAGTGTATCGAGCTTTTCACTGATTCCCTGATATAAACTTTGGCACTGTTCGTTTCTGATTTAAAAAAAAAATTTATCGGACACTTTGAGATGCATTATATAACTCAATACTTTTGAGATACATTCGCACCAAGCCATCTTTATAAACTGGGATGTTTTTGGGTTGGTTTTTTTTGTCTCGCCTGCGACAAGTTGCAGTATGCAAGACATAGGGATTACTATCTGGTGGCAGCGGCGGCGATGTAAACTATTTGTATAAAGCTTTATATTTCAGAGGGTAGAATACATAGATGCTTTATACCTTGTATGCAGATACCTTATGTTACAAAGTTTCTTTCTGTCATATGTCTATTGTCCTTGACCTCATTTTCATGGTTCAGCGACTAATTGAAAAATAATATTGTTTTTTGTCATGTGAATTTCTCACTTATTAGTAATAGGATAACTGTATTTTGTATATGGGTTCGTTGCAATGTCTTCATGTCCGTCAGAAAGGGTTCACCTGACCTCGACCTCATTTCAGGGATCAGTGATCAAGGTTGAACTTACGTGATTATATCCGTTTCTCAGATACTATAAGCAGTAAGTCAACTATATGTTTTGGACCCCCCCCCCCCTCCCCCGTATGGATTGATTGCAAGGGGGACATGTCAGTCTGGCAAGTTTCATCTGACCTTGACCTCATGTTCATAGTTCATTGGTCAATGTTAAGTTTTTGTATTTTGATCTGTTTAAGCTCACATGGCCAAAGGCCAAGTGAGCTTTTCCCATCACTTGGCGTCAATCATCCGTCGTCGTCTGTTAAATTTTACAAAAATCTTCTCCTCCTCCTCTACTGGGCCAAATTTAACTAAACTTGACCACACTCATCACTGGGGTATGTAGTTTAAGAAATGTGTCCGATGACCCCGCCTGCCAACCAAGATGGCCGACATAGCTAAAAATAGAACATAGGGGTAAAATGCAAGTTTTGTCTATTAGATGAAACATAGAGATCATATCTTGGAACCAGTACGTAAACAAAAATAAATGTCTATGAATATTATATATCTCCCCAAAAGAGGCGTGGTTTGTGAAACAGCTGTATTCACAAAGTGCAACCTATAGTTGATGTGTTTCTCTCGGTTTTAGTCTGTTACCCAGAAATTGTTTTCGCTTAATCGAATTATGACTATTAAACAGCGGTATACTACTGTTCCCTTTATCTATTTAGTGGAAAATAAAATTAAAGGATACTTCTTTTCTTTCTTCCTAAGAAGTTCCTGTATGAAGTCAGTCTCATATGAATAATAAAACAAGTCGGCAATGCCGATTGTTTGTTGAAAAACACGTTCTCCATACGTAACTATGTTGTCAATCAAGAAATCAAGCGTCTTGATAATGTCAGTTTCAGTGATTTTTTGTTTGAATCAGGGTGTTTTTTTACAAAGTAGGATTTATCCCTCCCCAAGACAAGATACTTGTATCTACGTTGGTTATTCTTTTCTATGAAACAAAGCAGGACCAACGCTTTCAATTTGTCTTTTAGTTTGAAATTTGGAATACTTGTGTAAAGTGTAGAATAGTCAAATGTTTGCAAGATGAAAGAGTCTTAGATTGTATGTACTCTAAAAGATCGTTGGAATTTTTCAGTATCCACATCTGATTTACGCAATCTCTAGAATAGTTTCACAAAATCTTTGAAGCCCGGCTTTGATTGCTGATAAAATTGATGTTAATAAATTAAAAAGAGATTTCGTGGAGCACTTCGAAGAACCAGCAATATAACGTTGTTTGTAAGGACACTTTTGTAGTTTAGGTAATCAATACAGTGGTGGAAGATCCAGTTCTTCATCTTTGGTTGAAATTTCAAAGGAACATAGAACAGACCTATGATTATCCAGGATTTCCTCTTTGGTAAGTGTCGTTGGGGTATATATTGAGTTTCCAAGTGAATTAGCAATACCTAATTCATTTATCAATCAGTTTATGTATTGTGATTCACACACAAAACGATGTTATTTGGGGCTTTATCAGCGGGGACAACAACATATTTGTCATGGAGGTGGGACAAGTATTTTGAAACATTTGGGTCTTTAAAGATTGATGTACAATGGGTATTCATAGACCAATTCAGTTTCTTAATTCTGATTTTTATCAACAACCTCACAGCATTAATCCATTCGGAAAGAGTATATACGTCTTGTTTCTCGTGTTTAACCCATTGCCTGGCATACTCCGTCGACTGAATCCATCAGTATTTTGAAGTTGTGTTTCCAATTGATGGATTTAGGCTAACGATATTTTGAGCCTTTGGATAACACATTTCGCAGAGAAGTGTGATTGACAATGTTTAGGACACAAGTAATAACGTGGCAAGCCGGCTTATATATGAATGGGGAACTAGCACAGGTGCAATCAGGAGGTTTAGTCTTGAAGTCGTTAATATTGAAATCCTGCACCAAGTGTTTGTAATTGAAAATTTAAGTTGCAATTGGTTTTGTATAGGTATAAGAAATGATAGGTACAAACTAATCTTTAAAATAGGGAGGTATTTTCGAGTGAACTGATTTATGATGAAGGATATTGCCCAAGTCGAGACCTTTGTAGGCAAAGGAAAGTCTAAGAAAGGATCTTTTCTCCTTTTCATTTTTTCCAATG